TAGTAAAATAATATTTATTTAGGTTATTAATAGCGTTAAATCCCATTCGATGATCAACTTTACTCAATTATGAATCTGTCACATCTGTTACACATTTACGCTATGAAATCAAAGCCATTAGAATTATAAGCAATTTCACTGTTATTTTTTTGTTCTTTCATAGACTTCCAACTGTAATTTTTTATGAAACGCAAGGTTCAAAAGAAAAGAAAATGAAGAATAATCAATGAAAAGTTAATGTGAATAATTTTTTTTTTCTGCTGTCATGTTAATTTATAGAAAGGCATTGTTTGAAAAGAACATAACCTGATTAGTTTCACCTACACGATATTTTCATAAAGAAAAAAAAAACCATGTGTCACAGAAATAATGTGTTCAAGAGAATCAAAGAACGACATCAGAAAATAATGATAAACAACATTTGACTTGGAGATCTTTGCCGGAAATATTTTACATAGAAATATATGTGGCCAATGTTCGATTTTTGTTTTCAGCAAATGTGATTGAGACTAGTGGCAAGTACACAAACCATTCTCATGTAAAAAAGCACTTTTGAAAATATAATTTGAATCGAAGAAAATTTTTGGAAAGCATTTTGTTCACAGAAACAAATCATCAACATACAAGTCATTATATTTTCGATGGTATCAGTAATTTATCTACCTTCCATTTTTTAATAATGAACAAAATTCCAGCTAAAACGAAATGTGAAATCAATAGAATAGATTCTTAAAAGAACATAATCAGATAAACTATTGAATTCCAAGGACTAAAAATTTTGCATTAAAATGATGAAACGGACATACAAATTAATGTATTTCAAATTCATTGATGGAAATAAATTTTTGTATTGTCTTTGATTGATTTAACTTTTTATCTTAATCAATAAAATTAATCATGAATTTTCCTCATCTTTTAATTCGATAGGTTGCATTATGACACGTTGAATAATAAAATAATATTACATGAGAATATTTCTTTATCGTATTAAGTCGAGGTTTTGTGTTCAATATTTATTGAATGATTATCTTAAAAGCGAAACAGTTTTTAGAATTGGAGAAAATAGTTTTGTAGGGATTGAAAAATCCAGAAATAATGCTAACTTAGTCGTCTAAGATTTTCATCTCAAAACTCTGAAAAATAGGCATATTTTTATGTAAATATACTAATTAAAGTTTCATTTTTTTGAGATATTAATACGTTAAAAGGGAAGGATCTTTATTACATCCGACATATCGTGCTTTCAAGTGCGTCTTCAACTTCCGGACCGAGCAATTTTGTCAATTAGTAGTTATTTAGAAATTATTATACTACATAACAAGTACCATTTTCTCCAATTAGTATAGTTCTGCTAAGATGTCAAAAGTTCAATTTACAAAACTCATGTGATTAGTTTTTTTTATAGTTGAAAAATGCTTATAAGTCCTATTTTCAAAAAGCAGATGATTTTACATTGAATACTTATTGAAACTTGAATGCAAGAATTTTACAGCACTAGTAATTGATCTAAACTATAGTTGCAGCATCATCTATTCCTTGTAGAATAGACAATATAAATGACAGCAAACTAAAACATTACCATCTCTCTCTCTCTATCGATTTGAAGTACTTGATTGTAGAAATATAATGAGAAAGTGTCTCTAGAATTGAATGAATCGATCACGGTCTTATTTAAAATCTTGAAAAATTTTCAGAAGTTTATATAGAACATAGACAATTTTTCCTTTAAATAAGTTGTTCAATTCATATTTCACTCAAGTTATAATCATCTAGGCGTGTTTGTTTCATTTTCGTATCGTATTTCTGACATGTCAAGGTCAATATATACATATTGCTTACAACAGTTGAGATCTTTTCAGAAATCTTCACTTGCTACGTAGTTATTCCACTAGTGTTCTAATAATATTTGTTGTTGGTTTGTCTTTCTCTAATTAGTCATTCAGTTTCAGTTGTCTTTGGATACCGTAATAATAAGAGATACATCATTGATTTTAATAACTGAATCGATCAATTCTTGTCAGGTTTAAGTTTACTTTCATCACTTACAAAGTGCAACTAATTAATGCCGTTAGTGTAAAAAAAAAAACTGTAAAAGTCATAAAAGAAGAAGCACCAATCAAACTGTAATAAAAATTCATAAATACAATTAAATTGATACATGTACAGTGTAAAACAGAATTACAAATAGATAAAACTGTTATCCTTCTTAATCTTTTCTATTCTTTATATGTTATACCAATCAAATAGTTATGGACGTAATATACGTGATGAGTCGACAGATGTGAGAAATAACGGAAAGTATCAGCTAATATTCGGTCACTATTAACCATTAATAATAATCATAGAAATATAAAATTTATCAAGAGAGAGAATTTGTCGAACAAGTATGTTTGGTAGAAATGAGCAATGCCGATACCAATAGTAAAGAAAGTTAGAGCCTGACGATTCCAGTCCATTTCACAAGAATATTAGAGTCGGAAGCATTTTTACGAAACTCAATAGAATTTTTCTTTATTTTTTCACAAAGGATTAAATTAGTCGTTCAGAAATTTATTGAAGCACTGTTTAAAAAAAAAGTACTATTTCTCCTCAAAAAAAAAAAAAGATACTTTTCGATTGAAGAGTGTATATATACTAATTCACAATTATTTCTTTTACTTGCACCTGCAACAGTCGAGAAAAAAATTAGATCTTATAAAAATTTGGTTCATCATCTATTTGCCCTTTAACAATATTTTTTTGCCGTGATCTGAAACACTCTTCTGATTTCTGTTCATTCCTAATTCATTACTGCATTCTGATGTTATTGTAATTGTTTCCGATGATGTTGTATTTGTAACATGGGACAGGCAATTTCGATACAATAATTCAATTGTTGGAGTTGATTCTGATACGATTCCAATTCCCCCTCCCCCTCCAAAAAAAAAACGGTTTTTTGCTTACGTCTAATGTATGAACCAAAATTTTGATCTTACATTGGTTCATAACTTTCATCATTTTAAGGACGCTATGCTTCAATTCATATTTTTTTCTTTTTTCTATGAATTTCAATTCATGAAAAATGAAATAATTTATTAATTTACTATAAAGTATTTTAATCAATTATAGACAATTATATTCAACACTTAAAAAAAAAGTATTTGATATTTAAAAAAATCACTTTACCTTTCTGTTAGTTGATGCTTATTGAGGACGTAGATTACATATAGCTTCATAGAGCTGATCAAGCAAGATTTTCGAGTACTTATTTTGTATGACGAATCTTTAATATGTCATTTTAAATTAGAATAGTCTTTTATGAAAATTATATTTTTTTATATGCAAAACAATAAGATAGAGTCTATTAAGACTACTTAATTTTTAACTGTAACTATACTCTATACATGTTGTTTGGTAATATATTTGTTCCTCTTCTGACTTACATCAAATTTATGCTAGTGTAATCAGCGAACATATACATATGGACAAAATCATTCGTCAGCGATGTGATCTTACAAAATAAAAACATGTCCATTTCGGTATGATGAACAATCCTCAGAGCTCATTTTTATATGTTACTTATGTATTAAGTTAGTCTAGATATCCTGATAAAAATCAGGGCTTCCGACCTTTGTTCATAGAAGTTATTGGTAAAAACTAGCATTAGCAACACGATACAAATAAAGATATCGATTTTCGCTTCATATATTGTAGTTTTAAAAAAACTCCAAATCAAGGTAACACTTGTAAAAACTAAATCGTACATTCTATAGACAATTCCTAAGGCTATCAAATCTCTGTGCAAAATTTTTCTGAACATGCCTAGATGTTTCAAAAAAGTTAACTTTCTGTTCGTTGTTCAAAACCAATTCCAAATGATGGAAAGCCTTCTTCAGAATGCCTAGATGACGTTAAGATAAAAATTTTTGCTTTAAAATTTCATAGGATCTCTAAAAAATCGATTTTTAAGAAGAAATTTTTTGTAGTCCAATTTTATTAAATATTTTACCATAGATTCAGTTCGCATTCTAGAGTCTATCCCAGAGTTGGAACCAGTTCGGCTATCCGGTTCAGTCCGGTCCGGACCGAACCGGAAAAGACCGGACAAAACGTTAAAGCCGGCTGGGCAGGACCGGATTTTTCCCAATTCATCATTAAAAAATTGTTGCTTGTGTCCAAGAATTTTCTTTGCTCAAAAAAGGTGTTTTTATAATACCTTAACGTCAGAAGAATATGTTTACGAAAGACTCGATGAATATTGTGTCATCCACCTAACTGTAAACAATTCATTGTTCTCTTTGTATCTTTATCGATTCCTTTCTCGTGTACCGCTTATTTTAACCTAGATCATATAATTCGTTTTTGTTAGTCTACTTAGCCAGCTGCCTGAATCACGAAAAATAAATATTTACACTGTTGTGCTAGATTTACTGTAAACTGTCTCTTTTTCTTGAAATTAATATGAAAAAAAACAGATTTGATCTGAGTAGCTAACTGATATAGATATTGGGCTCGAAAAGTCTACGCACCTTGGCATAAAATATGATGTCGACAGTTTCATTCCCAAGTTTTAGTTTCCAGTTCCGATTAGGGGTGGCGATCGCCTGTTAACTTATTTTAAATTTAAATTTTTGCGAAGTTAAATTTCAAATAAATAAAAATTTTTTTAGAGATGAAAATTTAAATTTATTTAAGCCGTTTAAATTTACTCAAATCCAGTTTAAATTAATCTAAATTCAATGTACATCCATTTAATTGGATTTAAATCTAACGGAATGAATTTAAATTGAATTTTATTTGGTTTCAATTGAAGTTATATTGGTTTAAACTAGATTTAAATAAATTTGAAAAATTTAAATGTATATAAATCCAATTTAAATTGTAAATCAATTTATTTTTTTAACTTTATTTTTTGATTTATTAAAATTTTCGTAAATGTAAGTTGATTATTCCTAATTCGGATTTCTGCACATGAATATTCAATTATCCTTCACCATGATTATACGTGAATAGATACTTTTATGGTCAGTTATTTTCGCCGGATTTTTGCCACTTTGGCTGTAAAATTCATTCGGCCGGTTGCTGACTGGACAGGATCAGAGTTGGAACCGGTTAAGAAATGGTAAATCGGTCCTGTTCTGCCGGTTGGAATCAATGTCCAACCGGTGAAAACCGGTTAAAAATCAGCGGAAAAACGTCGAATTTTTTTGAAAACCGGTTTTTAGAAAAAATGGCTCCAACTCTGAAATAGTTTAGGACGCATGTAAAAGACACTCATCGTAATGAATCTTTTTAAAGTGAATCTCAGAAAAAATGATTAATATAACATATATTTTGAGCACTTTTTTTAAGCATTCTAACAGAAAAAACATGTGACACCTTAGTTTTTATGATCAAAAACAGGGTTAACAAAGGAGATTTTTGAACACTTTCAACCGGTGAAATTCCGGTGTCTACCGAACCGGTTCCAACGCTGGACCAGATAGAAAAAGCTGTCCGGTTCCAACTCTAATCTATCCAAAAATATTCAGATTTTTTTTCTTACATCTAGAGCGATACTCGCTACTTAGTTTTTAATAATTAGCCTACTGAACGAGCCACATCTGTCTATACTAAAAGAACTTATTTCGAAAAATAACTTTTGTGAAAAACGAAAATGGGCATGTTCTATTTTATTTGAAATGATTCATATATTAATTTGATTTAACATTTTGTTTTTATCATTGATACATTTGTCTATCAATTTACAATAAAACATTTGAGAATGATCAATAATGTATCTTATAATAAATCATAAAATCTAATTGTCCCATACGGGCATTTATTTTTATATGGAATTATTACTTATGCTTTATTTATCAAGTAACCTGCGACCCCTATTATAAAATGAAATGATCGGTGTCCATGCCTTTTTCTGTGTACATGGTTTTAACATTTAAGTATTTTTCTTTTCTTTTGCAATAATGTTCGCATATAAAATTAATCATTTTCGATTTACTTCTATCCGAATTACTTGTAATATAAAAATATTTTATTTGAATTAAGTCAATGAATTTGGTCTTTTTCTTTTGAAGTTCATCAAATTAATTCAAGATTTAATCATCAAATAAATACTGATGGATGTAAATAATAATTTCGTACTAAAACAAAGAATGTTTTTTGATTTTAAATCAATTCTTTTTCTTTATTTTAAGTTTAGTACGTCAATATTTTGATAAAGAAATAAATGTACATAAAAAAACAGGTCATTTACCATCAACATTTTATTTGAATGATGTTAAATATTACGAAATACTATCTCGAATTCGTAGTAAATCTGATCGTCTTTCGTATCTTCGTTCTTTAATATCAATTATTAATATTCCGCCATCATTTCCAATACCACATGATACTGGTGGTATTCATAGTGGTTTTTTATGTCCATATCGTATTCTTCGTCAATCTGATCTAGTCGATATATCAGCATGGAATTATATTAAAGCTCAAAGACTTAATGAAAATCTTCTATTTAATTGTTCTGGAATATCTAGTCTTCCATTAGCACAATTAATTATTGATATGAGATCAAAATTTAATTTATTAAATGATCCATGGTGGCCCATATTAATTGGTATATCAAATGATATGCATCAGGAAATAATTGATGTATTAAAAACAAAATATCAATTACATGGTGCACATTTATATACATGGGAAACAAGAGAAGATGTATTAAATAGAAAAGATTTAACATTAATTTGTGCTAATCATGGCGAAACAATCTATGAAGTTGATTCAAATATGAATTATATTGTTCAAATTGATGCTGATCAACGATTATGTTGTTTAGGAAATGTAACAAATGAAAGTAAAAAATTATATAAAAATATTGTTAAAGTTGAATCAAGAACAAAGTAAATTTGTTTGATATACATAAGTTTCTTTTTTAAATATAAGATTTTTCTTGTAGAAGTTTTAATGTATCCAAAAGAATTCTAACATCTGATCTATTTACAATATTAGCTTCATTAAAAATAAAAGGTTTATTTTATAAGAAAGTGTTAAAAGAGGATGATGATGAAAATTATAATATAAAACGAAAAGCTCGTAGTGGTTTAATATCTAATTAAATTTGTTCCTTGTTTTTGTTTTTGCTTTTTATTATTCCAGATTTCATATGAGTACACTTGAAGATCTTCGATCAGCAGTTAAACAAACACTTGAACAAAATGGTTCATTAGCTGCAACACGTGCTAAACTTCGTGCTGATATATTTGCAACATTACAAGATTCAACTGAAGTGAAACCGAGAATTCCACATGAAAATTTACTTATTAATGAACTTATTATTGAATATCTTAATTATAATAATTTGCATTGTGCTGCGTAAGTTAGTTTTTCTTTTTTTTTTCCTATTGTGAGATTAATTTGTTGAAATAATTTGTTTTGTAGGTCAGTAGTTGCTGCTGGTATGTGAATAAAAAAAAGAGAAAAAAGATTTTGTTTTAATAGATTTTTTTACGAGAATTTCTAGAATCGGGACAGCCAACACCCTCACTTGGCAGAAATTTTGTTGCTGAACAACTAAATATACATGACGATGATAAAACACGACAATTGTAAGAATCATTTTATTGCAAATAATCTTGTTTCTTTTTTAAAACTTCAACATTGTAAATGGAAGGAAACAAATCTAAGGAGTCGTATACAGATTAGTATTAAATTTCTAGTGAGCTGCAAGAAAAAGGTCTTTATAGTTTCAGGTATGATCCATCAGCAAAGCAATAAATAGAAGTAGTTGTTCAAGAAAAAATTAAGACAAATAATAAAATGTTATTACTCTGACAAACAGTTTAGCTTGTATCATTCATATCTGATTTCATTTATATGTTTAGTATTACGATGGAAGCCCCATCATTGCATTTGAAAAATTAAAATGATATTTCACTTTTTTTCTTATTTTGATGTTAGGCATTCATTCATAGAAGTGAAATCTTTGAGAAATTTAAATCAATTAGGTACTATCTTAAAACTTTATTTTGAAGGATTATTATTGTATAATTTATTAATAACACAATCAAAAACATCAGATTGATATATATATAATAAAAACAGATTGTTGTTATCTATGTGTGTTCTACTATAATAATGTAGCATGAACTAAACGCACTGTGTAACCAAGCAACGATCGAATTCTTTATATAAATAATGTTATGAAACAGTAGATTGCATTTATAAACTTCAAATCCATTTAAATGAGTATATAATTATTTAACATTTCATACATCAAATCTATCTCTCCAATCATTGATCTTTTCCACAGAGTCAAAGTATAGCACAGACTAAGTTATATAGAATTGCGATGCAGTTTGCTATATTTCGGTTAGAATTTTTATGGGTCACAGAAATTCAACTAGTTTGATATTTTGATGAACGATATTGGTTCTAGTTCTGATGAAATATACATTGATTGTGAAAAAGAATATAATCATACTTGCATTTTTTAAAATTCCTAGTTAAATAATCCCTGATCTCTATGACTTATATATGACTATTTTGATTTCGTTTAATTTCTTTTTAGACCACTACTCTATTCATTACTATCACATTTTGCAACAACTACAAAAACTGCTCATCGTACATTATCAAATCATACAAATTAGAAAAGAATGAAATTTTTCTATTAATCAATGCTAATTTCTTTAGATTTCATTAACAGATTTTGTATATTATGTGTGTTAGTTTTTCTCTTTTCTAATTCAATAGATTGTTGTAGTAGAATGAATTATATAAAGCTTGTTTTCTACTGCCATCTATAGTCAAGTATAACTTGATTGGCTATTATTTAGTATTGATCGGACAAACAAAGAAATACATTTTTGTTTTCTTCATTCACGTACATAGATTTTAAGATAGAAAAAGTATTTTCAGATGTCTGAAAGTGAAGATTTTGAATCATTAAAAGTACTTGAACTTCAAAATGAACTTAAAAAACGTGGTCTTGATACAAAAGGACGTAAAGCTGATTTAATTGATCGATTAAGGCAAGCAATTAATAATGGAAGTGAAGGTGATAATCATTATCATGATTTTCTTACCAAATAAATCATTTTTTTGTTTTTCATAGCTGGTGATTCAACAATAAATGATTCTACGCATAGTGATAATGATGATGATGATGATGATGATGAATCAGCTGCAGCTATAATAGAAGATGTTTGTTTTTGTATATGAAAAAAAAAAAAACAAGTTCTTATTTTATATTATTTAGACTAATCAAGATAATGATGAACAAGAAGAAGCAACAGGTGAAAAAGAAGAAGTAACAGATGAACAAGAAGAAACATCAAGTGAACAAAATTTACAAACCATTGAAGATCATCCTATTGATGAACAAAATATAGATGAATCACCATCAAATAAAAAACGTCGTCTAACAGACGAAGAAATAGAAAAAGAAGTTGAAGAAATTGAAGATAATACAAATGAAAATCAAACAAATAAATTAGAAAATGATGATGATTTAGCAAAACAAAAACGTAAAAAAAAGAGTCGCTGGGCTTTAGAACAAGATGAAGAATCATCAGAAAAACTATCAACTACAAAACAAACATCCGATGATGATGATGATGATCATGATGATAATGATGATAATAATAGTAGTAGTAGACATCGAGAACGAGATCATGATCGTGATTATCATCGATCATCAAGACAACGTGATGACGATCGACATTATAGTAGTCGACATTCAGAAAAGTATGTAAATATAATATATCATTTCAATAGGATTCTTGTTTTTTCTCCTCGCCTCCTAAATATATATGAGTGTGCGTATGTATATGTGTGTATTTATAAAATGAGAAAAGAAATAACATATCTGTCTTATATATATGCCAAATGGTCTACAATAATATATTGTTATTCAAAATGAAGATTAAACAAGGATATTTTAATTTATTCTTTATCATTTATATATACATTTATTGCAGTAAATCATATAAAAAAACAACAGCTCGTCTGATAACAAATTATATTTATTTAATTTACTTCGACAATTGTCATGAAATCCGGAATTAAAATGGTAAGCGTTGTAATAGCGAGCGATTATATTATATTAAATATGGATTTAAGATAGACGAATATGCCTATAAATATATATGTAAAAAAATGTATATATATATATATTTAGTTAACAAACAATGCATTGTGATTTCTTTTTTTTGCGGATATAATGTATGATATTGAAGAAAAGAAGAAAATTATGGTACAACAAAATGAACGAAAGGCAAAATATATATAATGAAATTGATATAAATATGGATATTTTAGGTGAAAATAATGTATATGTATATGTATAAAATGAAAATACAAAGATATTAAATGTATATCAAGTTGACAAAAGAAAAGACAGATCAATGAACAGGTTTTTTTCTCTAAATATAAATATGATAAACATTCATGTGTTACATTTGTGTTATTCAGATTTTTTGATTTTGTTGTTTTATTTTTTTTTTTCTATTTTATTTTATTTTTTTTCTTTATATTTATTTTTCTTTCGTATATATAGATCAACGGAAAGAGAAATACCACTTCCGGAAGAAGAAACAGTACAATTTAATAATGATGATGTTGTGCTTGATTTTTGTAAGTTATATTTTTCATTTTTATAGGATTATCTTTATGGGAAAAATCTATATTAATCAATTCCAATAATAAGTTTAGAAATTAGATGTTAACTATTATTTTTCTCATATTTATTTTTGTTTTCAGTAAGCAATTTATGATTAGAATATTTTGAGTTTCACTCACTAGCTTTCAGAAATTGATCTTGTGTCAGAAACATTCATATTATATGAAGTTTTCAGCTTTATATCATAGTGTTTTTGGGATATACTCAATGAACAAGCGTTAAATATCGCTTATTTGGCTACTAGAAATTCTGTAAAGGCTATAATTTTACAGTAGTCGGAAGAAGTTCTGCTACCGACTAAAAAGTGTGTAAACTTGAACCCTTTTGTCTGATATTTTGACTATCGATAAGGCCTGATCGCGAGCAGTAATATCAGGTCAATAGACCTTAATGTGAAGGATTTACAGTGAAAACACTGTTTCCCACTATTTAAGTGTGTTTACCTTGATTTTCTTATTAACAAAAAACATTTGCATGTTTCTATGATATTGTAGATAGACTATTTCCATCTTTTTTATCCTTGAGTCATAGGGAAGCCTTCATTAATAACTACTCTCGTATAATTTTCAAAGGTAAACTTGATTAGAATAGAGCATCCGTTGAGGTCGATTCCAAGGCAAAAGGTTAACATTAGCCGGAAATATCAGTTACTCTTTAACAGCTTTCATTGATTTTCATGTGGACATTATCTCAAGGTTATTTCATAAATCAGACAAACCCAAAGCGTTTGATATAACATTTTCATTAATGATAGAGGCAGGACTGACCTGTTGAATGATAAGTCTAAATATCATACGATTTGTTTTTCATGTTAAAACATTTTTGTCTAAAGTAAAAATCTATCATGACCTTGTAACCTATTTCATATGATAGTCGATCAAGTCTTGATTAGTCTTCGTGATCAGAGTTTAACATGGTATATTTGAGATCAAACTGAAACTAAAGCATTAAAACTTTGGTACTTTTGATCTGATAGCTGAAATATTTCCGACTGCTGTGTATGTTTAATTTTTCCTTTACTTGAAATAACACATCAGACTACAGTATCTGATAAAGTTCCAAAAAAAAAATGGTCATTTATTTGTAGAAGTGCATTTTTGTATAATAATAAGTCTTTATTTGAAAAATCAGATTCTGTTAGGTAATGTATCTTCACACGCTCTTTGAAACGAAAAGGAAATACCTGACTATAAAGACGCTCCTTTGAGGTTTTTAAGATACATGATCAGAAAAAAAAATGAAAAAGATTTGCTTCTTGTTTTCTGAATAAGGCATATTTGTCAAGCAGCTGATGACGGAAACCACGGGAACATTTGCGAAAAAAAAATAACGTGCCAAATAAAAAAAAAAAATCATAATATTGGCGAAAGAAGCGACCTCAACTTATTGTATCATGTATTTATCTCAGTTTCGATAATTTCAATATAAATAAGTCTCTTATGAGAGCTTTGGGGATTTAGATTAATCGATTTTCTTTGATACTTTCAAATAAATTCATTTCAACTAAGTCCATAACTGAAAAATGAGAGAAAAATCTGCTTCGATGTATTCTAACAGAGTGGAAGAGTTTATAAAAATCGCTGATCCTTTCTTTACTTCTTTGATATTCTTTAGTCTCATGTCCTTCTTATACATCAACTAAAATTTTAAAAGAAATATATATTTATTATATAGATACATCTGATTTAAATCTTACTCTTAATCCGGATTGTTTATCAGCATTGAATAAATCTAATGATGCATTATGTTTCTTATGGGCTGGTGCTCGTGCAACGTATGGATTTAAACAAGGAAAAATTTGTTATGAAATTCGAGTAAATATATAAATTTTTTTCTATATTTGATTTTATTTATTGATAATTTTAGATAAGTGAAATAATAAATTGTCCACAAATGCCCGATAGTGAAAAAGAAAAATTCGGTATTCGTGTCGGTTGGTCAAATTTATCGTCAGGTCTTCATGCGCTACAATTAGGTAAAATAGCTTATTTCGATTTTCTTTTCTTTTTTGTGAAATACAATTTAGACCGAGTCTTGAAGTATAAGAATAAAAATTTGCATGTAGCAGTATCACGATCAGGCTTGCCTAATTTTCTGCTTTTTTTTCTGAATTCTGGACCTTTTAAAATCGTAGCTTTATCAGAGTATAGATGTGAGCCTTCACTGCACCGATGTTTCTCTTTGATAAAGTATATTCAAAAAAATGGAAAGTTATGAACAATAGTATCAAATAACCTCTGTTTTCATAGAATCTCTCAACGTAGATAATATATCTATGATTGATTTTTGTACTATTTTTTGAACGAATTTTGAGTTTAGTGAAAAAGTTCGACGCTAACTGGAGAAAACACCCAAGTGATAAATCGATTTTAAGCCAGAACTATATTCAATCGATAGGGTCTAGTGAGTAAGTAAATACTCCAGAATAATTTGAGGTGCTAAACCTTTTCTGCTAAGATATTGAATTTTTAGTGGATTTCTTCTGTAGGACCATAGTTTTCAAGCGAAGTTATACTTTTGAATTCAGGCCTAAAATTTAGCCCACATAGAGGCACCGATTGGATTAGATTGTAGAAAAAAAATATCAGAATTTTTCTGTCAAGTCTCTTTGGAACACGAGTTTTTAAAATATTGGTAATTTGCCACGATTATTATAAAAAATATGGATATTTGGAAAGGCTCATATCTCGAAGATACGTACTCAAAAGATTTTGACATTGTCTGTTAACAAACTAATTTAATCGGCGCTTTTATTTGGGCAAAGTTTGAGACTAAAAGTCGAAATGATGATGAAAACTGAATTCCTATAGAAAAAATCTACTAAATATTCGAAATGTCAGCGATACAGATCTAGCAGCTCGGACTACTCTAGAATATTTACTTACTCACTAGACTCTATCGATTGAAAATAATTCCAGGTCGAGAGCGATTTATCACTTAGGCACCTTCCCTCGTAAGTGTCTATTGTCTTTCTTGCTAGTTCGTAAAAAAAACTGCCTTTTCTGATTTTTAAGTTTTTTATCTGACAATCCTGACGCCGACAAATGTTGATATACAATCCATAGATGTCCATCACGGCTAGAAATCTGTCGTTGTCACAATAGTTTTTGAGAAATTCTTAAAAAATTTCTTTCATCACTATGCTAAATTAAGATAGATTAAACCCATCAAATTCAGTCTGTTCGACTTGTAGATATCCCAATCGAGATCAAATTCATGCAATTTTACAATCTTCCTAAATGAGAAACTGTTCAGACTGCGTCGCTTTGAACATCTGTGATATATCAAAGACTATATCAATAACATCTTGTTATAATATATCCACTATTGCCTCATTGAATTTCTGGAGAAAAATGTTGAAGATATGTGACCCAAACTAGATGAAACAATATTCCTGTGATTAACAAACAGCAGCTGCATCGTGTTTCATATTTTTAATCCTATAGGGGGATTACTCTAATAGATTCTTTTTCTATTTTTGAATATAATAAAAATTTTTTAGGTGAATTCAATGATTCATTTGCTTATACATCAATTGGTAAAAAAATGAGTAAAACAAATGATGAATTAATTGAAGAGACTTATGGTGAATCATTTGGACAATCTGATATTATTGGTTGTTATATTGATTTTGGAGATGATATAGAAGATAATTTAATTCGTATATCATTTACAAAAAATGGTGAAGATTATGGTCAAGCATTTGAATTTTCAAAAAAGAATTTAAACGAATTTTATCCACATATATTAGTCAAAAATGTTAAATTTGAATGTAATTTTGGACAATTAGTAAGTATTACAAATTCTTTTTTATTTTCTTAAAATAACAAATTATTTTTCAAGGAACAATCATGGTTTGAAATCAAATCTGATTATACATTTGCACAACGAATTCCTTTATCCGATCGTGTACGTTGTTCAGAACCAATTTTAGAAAAATCCGATTGTCAAGTTATTCTTCTTTCGGGTTTAAATGGTTCTGGTAAAACAACATGGGCCAAAAAATATATAGAAGATAATCCAAAAAAAGATTTTAATTTATTAAATATTGAATATGTTCTGAATAAAATGACGGTACGTTATAAAAAAAAAATATAAATATAAATTTTGTTATTTTTTCTTTTGAAGACGGATGGAAAATTACCAATTATAAAAGATCGTAATGATGGTTTAATGTTACGTGTGAATATATGTTTACAAAAATTAATTGAAATAGCTGCACAACGTCGACGAAATTATATTATTGATCATGTAAAGACCAAAACAAAACACAACAAAAAATTTTTTTTTTCTAATATATTTATATTTAGGTAAATACAACACGAGAAAGTCAATCTAAACGTCAACGTTTATTTTCTGGTTATCATCGAACTGGTGTTGTTATTGTACCTGATGATGATGAATTAAAACGACGTATTGAAAAATTAGAAAAATCAGAAAATATTTCAATACCATCACAATGGATTAGAGAAGCTAAAGCTAAATTTTATTTTCCACAAAAAAGTTCATCATTAGAAGATGTTATCTATCCAGAATTATCTTATGAGGATGCGAAATCATTATACGATAAAATACGTCGAGATTATGATCAACATCGTTCATCATCATCGTCATCACGTTATGATCGACATGATGATTATCATTCATCACGTAATAATAATCGAAATCGTTATGATGATCGTGATCATCGTAGTCGAGATCGTGATCGTGATCGTGATCGATATGCTCGCTCACGTTCACGTTCACGTGATCGAGATCGTCGAACATCATCACGTGATGATTCAAGGTTTTCATCATCACATAGAAATGATAATTATCGTGGTGGTGGTGGTGGCGGCGGCGGTGGCGGTGGTGGTTATTCTCGTGGTGGAGCTAATCGTTATTCTGATCATCGACAAGATTCAAGAAGTAATCAACGTGCTGGTTTTCATGACGGTGGTAATAATAATTATCGCGGAAGAGGAAATAATTATAATAATCAATCCAATGATGAATGGCGTGGTGGATATGGTCATCAACGAAATGATTTTAATAGTGGACGTAATCGTGGTGGTTTTGATAATAATAGAAATCAATATAATAATAATCGTGGTTCATATCATGATAATCAACGTACTGGTGGATTTAGACAAGATTTTAATAATCAACAACGAGGTAGACAATTTAATGATTATAGTAATAATCAACAACAACAAGGTGGTGGAAGAGGATTTATGCAGAGCAATAATACTTTCAATCAACAACATGAAAGACAAAATTTTGTTTCTAGAGTAAGTATTCCATAAGATGTCTGATATCAATGATAAAATCGTTTTTGGTTCTGTCAGAAAAATTTTTAGTCCTGATTTCACACTTAGTAGTGTATATACTAGTGAAAAATGTGATATCACATTCTAGCAGTGTCAATGAGTTCGAGACATCTTTCAAGACTTAATATCCTCCTACTTCGAGACTCATTACTTTTCTTTTACTTGACTAATATATCGTCTATTCTACATACAATATGGGTTTGACACCTCAGTGGCTTACTAAAAAGAAACCATTCATTTGATTATCAAAATTATAATACAGTATAACCTCTCTATAGTGGACACCCGAGGGACTTTTTCAAAGTGTCCACTATACAGAGGTGTCCACTTAAGAGAGGTTTTCGATTTCTTTCGCTTCAAAGTAATCATTATCGTTACTATAGTGGATTCCACTCCTTTCTCAAGTTCGTTCGCATAGAGGTATGTGTTCAGATAAACTTCTCTTATAATTTATTGAAATCTATTTAATTTTATTAATTCTTGTTGGATAGGTAAGTGTGTGTTCAATTTAGTAATTTGCTGTCCTTTTATATTATCATCTGGCCTGTTCTATTTTTGCCTAGTCTATTCTCTTTTTACCCTGTCTGTTTCGTTTCTGCCTAGTCTATTTTCTTTCCATTGCCTTTGTATTGCAGTGTACATCGCGTATTGATTTCATTAGCGCTTTGTCACGTGCACAATTCTGTCTAGACGAAGATAATGCGATGAACTTAACAGACTATCCACTATGAAAAGGTTATTCACTACAATGGGATCAGATAAAAGTGTCCACAGTCCAGAATACGGAGGTGTCCACATTCGGGAGGTTCATTTCCAGCAAAAAGGGCTCGGTGGGACCGAGAGGTGTCCACAATAGGGAGGTGTCCACTTTAGAGAGGTGTCCACTAACAGAGGTTTTACTGTAGTAAATATTAAAGTGACCGTTGCTATTTGTGTTTTTTCATAATTATGATGAGTCTAAATCAGATCTCGATGCCGAGCCACTTTTTAATGGTTCATACTAGACTAAAAATTGCTCATACGTATCTCTTCGCTCTGTACAGTCCAACTTACAACCACATTATAGAAGAGTTTATCATCATAATGATCACCAGTTGAATAGGATCAAACAATTTTCATACTTGAAGAAAGTGCCTAAGAGATAAGCTGCATTACTTATTGAACCGAAGGAGTACGATCTATTCATGAATACTCGAACTTCTTCAAGATTATCAATTATTAATCTAAGTTTTCATGAGTAACATGCTTGTTGAACAATTTCAAAGAGTAAGATCGACTACTATTTTTAGTTACATGGTTAATACGGTTCCACTTCAGTAACAATCATGCTTTAGTGCGCTGTCTTGTGTGTATTCGAGGAATATCTTACACAGAAAATATTTCTTGAAAAAAAAGAAGTAAAGCGCAGACTGGATGGCCTATTTCGAGCATTGTTCTGAGCTAAAGAAATAGTTTGATTTCAATATTCTGCACTTATTAGTATATTTTCTTTATTTCAGCCTCCTATGCAACAACAACAACAGCCACAACAACAGCATTCATTTCATACTCCACAACAACAGCAACAACAACGCCTACAACCACTTCTTCAAAATCTACCATCGAATCAACAACAATTTCCGTCTCATCTGACACAACAAACAGCAAATAATCCCAATCTATCGTTACCAACACAGAACCCATTAAATGTTAACCCATTATCTAATCCTGCTAATGTAACTCAACAAAACGCACTTGATCCATGGCTTGCATTAATGTCAGCTGCCCTCAATACCCAGCCTACAGCAGCAGCAGCAGTAGCAGCACCTCAACAACCGCAACAAGATACAAATTCCTTAACTCAACAATGGGCACAATGGTTAAAAACAGCACAAATGGTCTGTAAAACAAATTTATCTTTATTTTTTTTTTATTTATTTGAATTAATTTTATATTTAGGCTCAAACAGCACAACAAGTTCAACCTCAATTAACAGTTCAACAAACTGATTCTCATCAACAACAGACACAAATTCCAGACGCAAGTGCTTTGTATTATCAGGCATATTATGCTCAATTAGCTGCTGCACAACAACAAGCAGCAGCAGCTGCTGCCGCCGCCGCTGCCGCAGCTGGATCAACGAACGGAGGTGTTGCACCACCAAGCAATAGTGATAAATAGCTTTTCTAAAAACAAAAAACACTTTTTTTTGGATGTATATATACCTTTGTTCTAATAAAAAAAATACAAACAACTATGAAATAACTAAGAACAAGTGGTCGCATAGTTTCTTTTTTTTCCTTTATTCATTTTCATATCTCAATTTCGAATTGAGTACATATATATTGTTGTTGGCTTTTTTTTGTAACGTGTGTAATTCTACTCTTTGTTTAACTATTATTCTCATTACTTTTGTGTTTGTCTTTACTTGAAAAACCAAAATATCGTTGTTTTGTATTTAAATGGATTTATTGTCTACTTATTGTCTCGAAACAAACCAACTAAAGTGATTAAATGAAGAAAAAAACAAAACAATTTGTTCTTTTTTTTTGTCTTTTTGCAATGTAGATGTCTATTATTGATACTATTGATGCATTTGATAAACTTGAATTTAATGATAAACGTTCATTTGCAGTTGCATCAGCTTTAATTGCTAAATCTATTCAACAATATAAAGATAATCCATCAGCAAAATTTGATAGTCTTAAATTATTATTTGAAATTGAGTAAGTTTAAGTTATATATTGAATATTCATATTTAGAAAAAATTACTTTTCAGTTCACCTGAAATTAAACTTGAACAAAAAGCAATTGAACGTGAATGGCTTGATAATGATAAGGAACCTATGTAAGATTCTTTCGTTTTTTTTTTGTTATAGAAAATATCAATGTTTTGATGATAAATGATAGAAGCGAAAAAAAAACAAAAACACGAACTTTCGACATTCGCCTTGAATTTTCTCTTTTTCTATTTTCAAAACTTATCAAAACTAAGAAACTTTGTGAAAAAAAAGTATTAACAAATTTTACTCATCACTGACAGAAACCAATAGAAAAGAAGACATTTCCAAGCATTGTCATCGATCTATGCATTGACTTACATCTCTGTAATCATGACTTAAATGTTTCGTATTGTAAAATCAAGAGCAATTGTATTGTGTGAATGAGAGCAGAAGCAGATACAGCTATATAAGAGTAATAATCTTCTCAAATAATCTTGAAAGACATTGTATCAGGGGATGAGAGACACTCATCACGATGCATTACACTAGATTAGAACGAATCTTTATGACTAGAACAAAGAAAGAAAAAATATGCATGCAATAACAAATGGTGCATTCTATGACTTCTAAGAATTTGCATGTCTCACACTGCCATGTAAACAAAATGTATTATTCTGCGGTGAAAAAAAAACAGATGGTTTCACCTATGTACTACTGTCCACAAAGTGTTAAAGAAACTTGCTATGGTAGAAGCAGTTTTTTCACATTATAATGAAGGAAAAGACTTTGTTTATTCAAGTTGTACTATGAATGTTGCTATAGAGATAAGGAAACAGAGAATATTGTGAAATACTTGTCGTAAATAAAGAATCAGAGCTGTCAACAGGCCATCTTCCTAGTCTGGTATGAAATGCCTGCGGGCCAAATACACCCGATCGAAGTTTCTGATTTTTCGAATATGTTTTATTCTATCATTTCACATTTATACATCATTCTAGTTTCAGTTGTTTACTTAATTGATTTCTGTTAAGATAATGAAATAGATAATGAAAACTAGACCTCTACCCGGCCCAAGGCCGGCTAGAAAAGTCGGCTGACTGCAGAGCCCAAAAAATATCAAAACCTGGTCCTATACGACATCTACTATTTCTATACCCAAGAGTTGTGTAGAGGAAATCATAATGAATCTGAATCGTAAATTTCCATATAAGGAAGCTCTCAGCTGTTCATTATCGCTCATCGTCTCATCTGTCTAAACCACGAAGAGATTTTTTTAAATGCTTGAGACTTCTTTGTGGATGAATTTCAGCTATGCAAAACGATAATTAAAGTATATATGCACATAAGTTCTAAAATATGAATGGTCTTTTAAGACTGAATCACGCATACCCATATAAGGAAATTATCAGCTGTTAATTATTCATTTTCACCATTCGTATATCTTCCGAACGCTGCCGAATTTCGAAAAACGGATTTCAGATGTGCACTCGTCACGTTCTCAGGATCTCGCCAAACTTTTTTTCGACTGAAAATGATGCTCGGAAGCTGAGAACGAGTGGCTGACTTGAATCGTGACTCATGCGTCGAGAACAAGGAGAAGAAGAAGAAGAAGAAGAAGAAGAATTTACCATGGCAACTAAGCGAGTGAAAAGCAATAAGTCGGCTACTGCACTTCGTGCAGTCAGCCGACTTAATAAAGAGACAATCATCATAAAAATTTTTCATATAAAAAATGCTTGCATTAACGAATGTTTTTTTGATCCCATCATTTCTATTTCATACAATCGAAAAAATATAATAAGTAAACACTTATCGTAACAGACAAGTACGTTAACAATTGACAATCAGTTTTTGCAATAGCACGAATACAAAATTTTCTATCTAATTATTTTAATTCTAAATAAGTTTCTCTACCAGTTCATCTAAGTCCTACAACACAAAATTAACGTTCGGTTCTAGTATTTGTTGGTGGAATCAAATGATTTTGTCAAAGTACCCTCAAATAATAAGACGATGGATCAATATTTCCTTTCCAAATCGTAAGAGTCAGATCAACAGCTTTAACCAAGCCTGATCTGTTAATCAGGCTGAATGCTTCATGAATTGATTAGGCCAGACTATCAAAAAATGATTCGATACGATCTCTAATTTGACTTGAAAACATGTTTTGTGACCATCATTACCACCCACTCACCCCAAAATCCTAGATTCACCTCTGCTAAAAAGACATCATAAGTGTCTCACCGATTTTCTTCAAATCTGTATGAAGTATGCTATTGCTGAATCATTCACTGTTTTGAACTAAAAATCAGGAGAATTTACGACTGAGACGACTAGAAGTGTTACAAATATTTGACTTTTTTCACTTTTTTTAAGTGCGTTTACTACAATATTAGACTCTTGTCTTAGTCAATCATTATCAAATCGTCCGAATATTTCTCAACAACCTCTTTATGTTCCATTTCGTCCTGATAAATCAATAGATTATGAACCTATTCAATGGCAAACAGATCCTTCAATTCCAACACGTTTTATTGTTCAGCCACCTTCTCCAAGTCGAATTTTACAACCTCGTAATGAACCAACAAATGATAATAATACAAATACTGTTATCATCGATGATAATGATGATCAAAATTATGTGGATGCTGTTGGTGATGAAGAAAACGAAGTACCAAAGATAACAGTTAAGAAAAAAGGAAAAAAGAAAAAACAACAACAAAAAGTAAATATCATTACAACTAGTAATGATACTTCAATACAATTAAATACTTCATCAAATAGAATTTCTTCAGCAGGACATAAATTTCCAGTAAGTATTTTTCTTTAAAATTTTAATTTATATATATATTAAATGGAATTTTTTTAAGCAGAAATTATCATCAAAATGGTCGTCTGGTAAACGAATATCAGGTATTGGCAAAACAAGTGCTATTCGTAAAGTAAATAATATAAAGTAGAAATTAAGAATTAAAAAAAAAAGAGAATTCAATGTATTTGATTAGTTTGCACGTCCATCAAATGATCGTCAAAATCGTGCTGATTCACGTACATTATTTCATAATAAACCATCAGTAACAATCAATACGACTCGTCTTAGTCAAGAACAACGTGAACAATTCGCGCGTGCTGCTGAAGAACGTAAACAAGAAGAACGAAAGCGTAAAGTTGAAAAATGTAAGTCAACAATTAAAAATGAAAGGATGCCTGTCGGATAAGATGACCACTTTTCATTTGAGCAAGAAACTATACTGTTTTGCAGAACAACTTATGATGCGCCGAATGGTTTATAGAAAATTGCTTTTTCATCAAGTTTTAATGTTCCGAGAAGCCATATAGGAGTTAAGAGAAACTATAGTTATTGTGTATATTGTAATGGAGTATTGTGACTTAGTATGACCACAAATCAATCTATATCAAATTTTGTTTATAGTTATTTCAATAGAGTTTTGTGTCGTCTTCAATTGTAATCATCTAACAATAGCTTTCTTCATGCCCAAAACTTGAGCATTTTTATTAGTTTCTGGAGTTATCGAAAAAACTGGCTTTTTGCAGATATTAATTGACCGATTTGACAATGACGAATACCAATTCAAAGAAAAATTCATTGATGAGCTCACAGAGCTTGGTGGCACACCATTTTTGAGATGACTACACGATTGGTCGTCTTTGCCCTCAGAATATCATAGAAGCCAACAATTATAGAAGCTAGTAGGAATATTACGATTTGGGATGCAAAGAAAGCTGTTGTTAAATATATATCATCAAAGAGGATAGAAAATTCTAGTAAAGTAACTGTATAAAAAAGAATTGATATAGGTCGGTTCGAGGACATATTGAGTCATGATATTCAGTCAATATATTTACAATGGCTATAATATCTTTAAACTAGTATATCGCTTCTCAGAAAATTAAAAATTTAAGAAAAAGCAAGTTGCTATAGAACATTCAACGCATCATGTGTTGTTCAACACAATGGTACTGGCGAATTTTCAAATGAAGGGTAATCATTTTATCAAACAGGCTCCTTTTCATTGTTATTCATTTTGTTTTTCAGTACATGAACAAGCTAAAAAAAGAGAAGAAGTTCTTAATCGTGCTAAACAAATACAACAAGATAAAGATCAAAAAAATCAATTACGTGTATCTGATAATCAATCAAAAATTGCTGCTGTAAATCAAAATAAAAAAGTACCAAATAATAATTTTAATAATTCAACAACATTTAATAATTCAATGAATGAATCAACAACCACAACAACATATATAAAACCTATCACACAACCATATAAACCTGTTCTATTAGATACAACAAGTAATAAACTTTTAAATCAAAATAAAATTATCAAAAATCAAACAAATGGATTAAAAAAACCAACAACAACAACAACAACAACAGCAACGAATGCTGAATATACATTTGTTGTTGATAAAAATAATCCATTACGAAATGATATAACATTACCATCAAGTTCTATGATTCAACCAAATTCACATCATAAAGCTGATTGGACAATATTAGCAACATCAGGCACTGTTCATGATGAACTTGAACTTGATACAACAATAACGTTAGTTTGCAATTTTTTTATTTTCTTTCAAATAAAACAAACGTTCTTATTTTCTAGTGACACAACTCATCATTCAAATGATGGTGATTATGGAATAGAAGATATACGTTCAGATCAAGATTCAGATAATGATGATGAAGATGAAGCACGTATACCGAATTGGGCTAAAGGTTGGGTTATAGTTCATAGAAAAACGAAAGAATTTCAATTATGTTTTTTTCTTTAGAACGTTTATTTCAAACGTTTTGGAAAACTCAAGGTCATTGGTATTTATCACGTCGAACCCTTAAATTAACTCGTCGTACATTTGGTCATTATCCAATAATAAAAGATCAAGTACAAATGTGGCTTCGAGATCTTAAATCAAGTAAACCATTATCAGAAACATTTACTGATGCAACATATCTTGATCAAACGCAAGCATATTTTTGATAGATGTTCAGATTATTTTTATTTTTATTTTTTTTTCTCTTTGATTAGTCAGATATTAGTTACGAAATAAAAAAAACATATATATATATAAAATATTGTGAGCAGATATTCAGATTCAAATAATTATGTATTTATCTACTGTTTGTTATTCTTTACTAATAAAAACAAAAAGGAAAAATAAAGAATTCAACATATTTATACCATTTGTCACTGAAATTTAAGTTTTTTTTGCGTAGAGTTTTGATATGTGTCTAACACAATAGAAATCAATTTTTATTATCAGTAACCAACAAATGTCGATTAATAAAAAGAAAGGCAATTCTAGTTTTTATATAATCGCTTGTTTTTCTAAATCATTAAAAAACTGAATTATTAACAACAAATTTATAATTTCTTCATGATTATCATTTGATCTATGAATTGATGATCATTTTGAATAAAGAAATCTTCTCTTCTTATGTTTCGGTTTTGTCAAATTATTAACAAATTTTTCTACGGAAATTTTCATTATACAAATCAGAAACAGCTTGAGCAGATTAGCGATGTACGATGAACATTCACCATATTCAGAATAATTTGATATACTAGAGCTGATGCAAATGATTTATTTCATCATTTTTGTGACAAATCTACTGCTGTACTTGTTCGAGTCATTTAATACTAAGATCAATTAATAAAACTGCTAGCACAAACCATACTAGATTAAAAAGTGAAAATACGATGTAGCTGCTCTTGTTAATCACAGGAAGATTTTGTTTTTCTAACTATTCTGGAATATATATCTTCAACATCCTTTGGCTTAATCTTCCAGAAATGCAATAAGGAAGTAGTAGCGAAGCATTATTAATCCACGGTCTACTATCGTATATCAACGTCTTTCATGATCTGTGAAGAGGAGGAGAAGGACAAATCTTTGCTTCTAAACTTCGATACTATTTTTAGATCGTGTTCCATAAAAGAAAATATACCACAATGTGCAACGCGAAAAGTTCTACATTTCATAAATAACAACTTATTTTATAGCTGTATTTTTTGTTGATAAAATGGACAAAGTTTTGTTCAACTAATTTCTGACACTGCGGAAATGATCATTTTTTTAAAGTAAACAACCACTTCGATTATTTATTTCATTGATTAACAATAATTCTATTCACTAATAAAAATGTTTTTCATTAGATCATATTTATGCTGTAAGATTGCAAGATGGCATAAATCAAAAGACTAAGGATCTAAAACGTATTACGATGTGATTAGATGTATCTCAAAGTTATTTTACGTCTCCGATTGTAGTTAAACCTGTTGAAACATTAACATGTGAAAATTATATATTGAAGTGATCCTTCCACATGCGCAATCTGAAAGTAAACAGTTCTTGAGTGACGATTTTATCTATCGACAAGACAACGCTACGTCAGATACATATCAGAAATCATTGGTATGACATTAAGAAAATTTCATGCATTTGATAAACAATCTCGGATAGCCATCAAACAATTTTAATCTTAATGTTTTGGATTATTACATGTAAAACGCTATCATCAATAAATATACAATAGGCTAACGTTAAATACTATAGTTAATTAATAGATGAAGTAAGAAAAGAAATCCGTCATGTACCAATTAATGATCTCGTCCGCAGTGTTAAAAATCGGTCATACAAAATTTTTTACGTCATGAAAACGAAAAATGTAACTATAAAATAAGCTGTCCTTTGTTAAATGTATAGCTTTTCATACGGCATCTTGGTATGTTTTTTTTTTAAATAAAACTCATTAACTGATGAAAAAGTGAAATACAGAGCACGTCCATTCATTATGCCCCGTCTGTGATATTCACAGTAGAAATGTAAAAATTTGCACATAAGGAAATCTAAACGACACGATAGATTCTAAATTCTCACTGCAGTCTAAAATAAGTATTTTACATCGATATATGGCTGCTTTTGAACAATCATTTGAATAAAAGAAGGGGGATCTTAGTTTTATCATAGAAAAAGTCCTTTAGTATCTCAGGCATGCAAGTGTGTGAGGAGTAGAGATGGACACTTACAATTCCTTTCCAAAGTAAAGGTATCTTGCGTTTTAAGAAATATCATTGTAGTTTCATATGCTGTATCTCAATAGAACAGGAGCTGACTCTTTAGAAATGAATTGCTTAAACATGAAGTATAAAATATTCTGAAAAATACAAGACATTTACTTTTGAAAGTAACCGTAAATATACATTTCTAGTCAGGAGATAATAAAACAAGGTACTCGTAAGAATTTTCAACAAATCCTCATTTATTCAATTCATATATTGAATAGAGCAATACCATGTGCTAAATAGAGTCAACAGAGTACTCCCCAGCGAGGTAAAACAATTCTCTTCTAGCACGCAACAATAAATTTGTCATGGAATTTAATCAATATGTACCTCATTCTGCCAAAAAACAGCCGAACTCAAATTGAATTTTATCATTTTATCAGTAGGTTTTTTATTCTCCATCAGAATTTTAACAAAAATCATACAAATCTATTTTCAGAGAAAAATTTAAAAAAAAGGGAACTATTAAAGATAAAATAAGAGAACAACATGATTGTTTTTTGTTCACTATTTTTGTCTCATTGCAAACTTATCCTAGGGTAGACTGTTACTCACTAAAACAGTTTTCATTTTATTCATTTCGTTTCTCAGAATATATCTATTACAATATTATCAAATGAAATATTAAAAATAACGTTACATTCAATTAACTAAGGAGAACTATTCACATGATTTCAAAACACAAATTTTCAGCAGAAATCTGTTGCTGACATGAGAACGCACGAAAAATAACTATTCCAGGACAAGCAACTTGATATCTCGATCGTATTGAAAGACTCGTCGAATTTGGTAAGATTTGGATAGGTCTTATCTGAAGTTGATGAAGTCATCGAATAGAATTCTGCCAGATCCGAGAGAATTCTATGGAATAGTTCTAATCTGAAACTGGAGAAAAGCGACAATACCAGAAAATCCTCAAATTCTATTTTCATGAGTTGTGTCACTGCTGAGTTTCGTAAGAAAAATAACAAACACGAAGAAGATTCATAGACCGAATTGATTTAAAATTTTATCATATTCACACTTCTAACTGGCTTTGTATCATTCTTGAATGCTACTTCTAAAAAGAGAGCCGTTGGGCATAAAATGTCAATAAATGCATTTTTAATAGTAGGACTCTTCATGGCAAGATAGCATTCATGTGTACAGACTAAAGCTATTAATAGAAGTGACACACTTCTGCGAAATTGACATTATTATTCGACATTATAGATTGCCCAAATTCATATTACTTTTGGGAAGGGTACATGCGCTTATCTCACTACTTGCCATTGATGAATATGAATAAAAGTACAAAAGGCGAATACGTTGATAGAGTTAATGCCTCACTATTTTACTAAACATGAATGTTGCAGTAAGTGGCAATTTTTTTCACTGAAACTACATATCCCTAGAGCAGATAATTCCTTGGCCTATCACATACTCAAAATGATTGGTATGCCTTCACTCAATTCATAAAGAAACAACAAACATATGCCAATCATTGATGTATTAATTTTAACATTTATTTTCGCATGATATGACTTTGTGGTTACTTATTTTTCTTTAATTATAGTATATATTAAGCAAGATTTATTAAACATTGAATTCTTATTCCTATTTTTAGAAATATTGATCAAACAAACGAATAGGTAATAAAGTGGTAAAATAATAAAATATATATGAACTTTGTAAAACTTTAATCTAAGATATACATGACAAAAATTATTCTCATTTGTGTGGTTTCTTAATATAAGAAAACATGTCAAATGATTATTATTTTAATTGAATTCTTTTCAACTCATTACTTCTTTCCTAAGAAACAGCAAAAATTAAAAATATAGAAGTAAATTAATGTAAACATTATAGAATATTTTCTTAGACGTCTTGTTCTTTAGGCTATCTTTATGTTATTTTTACAAATGACTGCCTATGACTATTGGTTGTCTTTTTGCTTTTCTTGATAATAGATCATTCAATAGACTATTGATGTACATGTTCAAGTAGCACATTTCATTTCCTTATGACCGTTTCATCGTGTTTCCAACATTAGCCATCTTTGCTTCTTCTAGTCCTCCCTCCACTTTTTCTGACTCTTTGTCTATTTCTTTCTCGGCTCATCGTGACTAGAGTGTGATCGACGAGCACATTGATTAGTTCTTCTTCATTCATTTTGCTGTCTACTTGCGCCACATATATAGATTGACTCAATCTTTTACAACTACTCAAGCTTGTACTTGATTAAATACACAAATAAATATTCTAAATGGCTGATTCACTAAAGAAAGATACTGAAGTAGTTAAAGATAAAGTAGCAGGTATGTGATCTCATTTTTCAAACTAAAATTGATATAATACAAACAATATATATATAGGAGCTGCATCAGAAGCTAGTCATGAAACTAGTCATAGTATGTTTTTATAGTTTATAGAAATAAAAATAAATGACTTATATTTATACTAAGGTGTTGATGCTATAAAAGATAAAGTTGATGAAAAGAAATCTGAAACATCCAAAGAATCAAATAGAAATAGTGTCGAACATGATGTTAAAAGTTTTGTTGAAGCCGTTAAAGAAAAAGCCGCTGAAGCGTAAGTGTCTGTTCTTATTATTTCAATTCATAGAATTTATATATTTAGATACAACTACGTTGCTGGTGGTGAAGGCGAAGGAAAAGGTCTTGTTGGAACTGTAAAAGAAAAGGCTGCCGAAGCGTATGTTTATTACATATATATTACTTTTCTTTTTTTTTTACTGAATCAATTTAATATATCTAGTTATCATTATGTTGCTGACAAAGTTACTGAAGCAACACATGCTGTAACTGGTGATTCTCATAAAGAAGTAGCTAAGGATTCCAATCAATCAAGTGGTGTAAGTGCAAATGCTGATGCTGTTACGGACAAGGTTAATGAGAAAGCAAACGAAGCTCAGAACTGAAATTTATTTGGAACAATCATGCTCAATAATAGAAAAAAAACAGAACAAACTAATAGATACTAACATTTAAAATAAGATATGATATTGTAGTTGATTTGTTTTATCTCAGTATTAATTATTCTCACTATATCAATATTTAATTCTAACAACTAACATTCAACTAATTTTTATGCATGTGTATCATTGTATTTATTAATATTTGTTGTGGGCTGTGTATATATGTACAGTTTTAACATCTTTTAGTCGTAGCATTATCATTTATTGTTTTATTCGTATGGTTTTTAATGTTGTTGCAATAAGGAAAAAAAACATGAACAAATATAAAGCAGACACAGCCAATATATATATATCTAAATGACTGATTCTTTGAATGATATTATCAATAATGATGATTGAAAAGAGATATATTAAGATTAAGATAAACTAACTGATCAAAATGAATTCTGACTGAATTGAAGAGATAAACATTTATCAGAATTAATTGATGGCATTCCTATATGTATGTATATCAACTAGTGTTTATATCTTTTCTATTTTTCAATTTATAAATTGTTTATCAATGAATGATACTTATATAAATAGAAAAATTGTCGTGCATTGTTTGATAAAATCTCTACACGCTACCAATTATTATAGGAATATTGTTTATTCAATGTCTAAAATGAATCAAATGTGTACTTAACCTAACGATTCAATGATGGAACAGCTGTGAATGTGTATTAAAGGAAAAAAATGTTCTTTTATTCGTGACTATTAAGAAAATATGCATGCAGATGTTACTCTCTTTCTTTCTTTCTTCATGTCTTTATAAAAAGAAATCAGTAACATATTTATCGTATGAAATAAATTGTTATATTAATAAACTTTCAATATCAAATTTCATACAAATTCTTTTTTTAACAAGAGAAAACAACGATTTATATGTTAAGTGTCATTTGATTAAAGCGTGAAAATTTTTCATTAATGAAGCATCAATTTTTTATTTCTTTTCTTATCAATTAATCTTGTTTTCGATCAAAACAATATATTAATGTACTTCCTTTTGCAATTTCATCAATAACAAACATTGTCACTCAAATTATAATCATAAAACTTCTAACATGACATTTTTTTAATAATAGAAAACCATATTATCAAGGAAAAAATAATAATATATTTCAAAGACTTCTAGTTTTTACTAGTGCCAAATCGATATTAATACGGGCATATAATGAAAAACCTCGCCGTTCCATATATGGAATACCCGGCGCGAAAGGATTAAATCAAGTTCAAGAATGCATTTATGATTACGTATAACAATTATGCATCATTGAATAGACAATGACAAAAATCAATTGAACCATGACTAAATTTTGTACAATATGCATACATTTTTCTTTTGTATTCACAATGTAGTGAAAATAAACTTATAAACACATAGTACTGATTTAAATCACGAACTATACACTCTAAAAAATTCAATTTCAAAAGTCTAATTTTCTTTCTTCGCAATGTCATTGTCTAAACAAGAAACCTCAGATGTTATAGAGAGAAGAAAATTTTACCACAAATTCTTGCAAAAACATTTGAGTTCTTGTCAACATCTAGCAGCATCTATCGATGAAAGTAATCTGATTAAAAAATCTTGTTTGATTGCATGCTAGTGTTTACCATTTGAACTCTCATATCCATGTTTAAAATTTATTTTCTATCTAGCACAATCTTTTTTCAGATCAAACAAAAATGTATACACGTTGTAATGTTTTAAAAAACATTGTTCAAAGTTTTATTACATCAAATTCATATAGCCGTTTCGTTCGTTTTCAATCATCTACAACTAATTTTGCAGTAGATACTTCGCAAAACTCCAAGTAGAAAAAAAAAACTGTTTGTAAAAAAATAAAAAGACTTTCTTTATTTCATTTCTAGTTCAAAAATCAAGAATCGTTATTTTACAGAAGATGCCTTTCTTGATTTAACAACAGATTATAATCGTAGAAGATTTGTTCAAAGTGAACTTGTTTCAAATGCTATTAAAAATATTAATAGCAATATATCTGAGAGACTTAGTTTATTAATATTAACAGCTGCTGCTCGTTGTGTTCATCATATTACACCAGATAAACGTGTTCAATTATTAGAAGAAGTAAAAATGAAAAACATTTTTTCTTTTTTATTGAAAGCAATGTTTCTATTTTTTTTTCCTAAAGGCATGGAAAACATTAAATGATAAAAAGATTCGATTAACAACACGTCATTATGAAACATATTTAAGTGGTCTTAATGAAAATGGTTTTATATTTGATGCTGATTATTATTTAAAATTAATTGATAGTGAACAAATACAAGCAACGCCACGTCTCTATAGTTTACTATTAACTCAGTATGTGTTTTTTATTACTTAAAAGATAATCTAAAAAATCTGTTTTTGGCAAATAGATATTGTCGTGAAGGTAATACAGATCGTGCACAAAATTTTTTGAAAATGCTTAAAGAACGTAATGTAAGCATTGATGAAGATATATTTGCTGCATTAATTGTTTGTCAACTTAAACTTGGTAATGATAAAGGTGCTAATGATATAATACAAATAATGAAAGAACGTGGTTTACAACCAACTATATCAACATACAAAGAAATTTTAACAGCACTTATTAGTGAACATAAATTAGAACAATTTGAATATTATTTTGGTCAAATTGAATCTCAACAACGTCAAACATCATCATCATCAACTGTTTATATTGATGCACATTTTGTTGTTATTTTACTTGGACAATGTATTTCATATAAAGAACGTCCAATATTTGATTTATTATTAAATACATTAAAAGAACTTGATCATGGACGTATGCCAAATAATTTATTCAATTTAGCTATACAATGTGTAACAAATGAATGGCATGAATCAGCCATTGAATTATTACAAATGCAATCGGAAGCTGATGCAATTGATGAAGAAACATCACCTTATCAAGGAATTAATGGACGTCATTGGATACTCTTTTTCAGGTAAATACTCTTTTCTTTGTAGCTGAAATTCAATGCATGATTTGCTTTGAGATGACTATTTGAAAATCTTATTTGTGTAGCTAAAATGTTGATAAAACTAAGTAATTTATGACTAACCGGTCTGATCGGTAGAATATTTCTATTAATTTCTTGTTTATTCGAAGCAAAAAATTTACTTGGTAATTTTAAACAAAGAAAATATTTTATACTTAATAGACTGCTAAAGGCCGTTGGGAAGCGTCCATCTATAACTTACATTAGAATGATGAATGAGATATGTACTTCGGAAGGTGTAATCTGTTGATAATTAATTTGAGATTAGATCAGAAATTAGAAGTATCAATATCTCCAAATATATAGCTTTTTAATTTGTAATTTTCATTAATCCAATTCTCAATATTCTTGTCAATCTGTCGAGTTCATCTCAGATCAGTGATTGTGGTGTCCGGATCCATGAATTTCCAACAGATTCTCGCCGGAAAGATGCTGCTTCCGACCGCAAAACTCAGTAAAATAGTCAGATATTTGAAGAAAGAATCCGGTAGCCGGATTTTTTAATTTCCGGACACGGTCAGTCCCTAGATTCCTAATTCCGAGTTCCTACTATTCTCCATCATTTTTCGGTCGGAAACGACTCATACTTCTAGACCTGGACAATCTACTCTTCATACCTCATCTAACGAATTCTATTGGAGAGATAGTAACAAAATTATCTCGATATTAAGACGAAAAAATTCTAAACCATGTTTTTATTTTATTTCCTTTTTTGTTTTTGTTTAGACAATTACTTGATAATAAAGAACCTCATCTAATGGATATATATCTTAAATTAATGATGGAAAAAAATCTAGTACCACTTGATGGTATTCTTCGTGTTTTATATACAACACCAAATGAAAATCATCATTTAGCACTTAATTATCTTGAACGTGGACAAGAATTAAATCATCCAATGCGTACAAATTATTTTTATCCAATTTTACTAAATATCTATTCACCAAAAACATGTCAAAATTGGACAGATAATGATCGTTTACGTTTATTTCGTTTACTTGATCGTTTATCTATACCAATTGAATCATCAACATATTCAAGAATTGTACAACCAATATTTCATCAATATTATCAAAATGATTTTAATCCATTATTAAACATGTTATCAAAAAATAATCTACAATCAATACTTGATCGTATATGTCGTTTATTATTAAATGATATACGACGAAATGTGCTTCAGTTAAATATAATTGAACAAATCGCACCATTTTTTCGCTTACATACACGTTCAAGACAAGAAGAATTTGCAAGATATTTATGTTCTTTTATGACTGGTATATCAACAAAGTAAAAATAGTTAAAACATTTTTCTTTTTTTGCTTTATCTTTGAAAAGATTTTTCGTTGTGTAATTATAGATTAGATGAACATCATGATGAAGAAATCAATAAAGATTCTCAAACAAAATCTATGAATGATTATACACGAATATTTCAATTAATTGATTCAATATCGAAAAATTTATCAAATGATATTCCGATGCTTAAACATGAATTATTTATATATTTACTTCGTTTTTCAGCTCAACATCGTCGAACAGATTTAACATCACGATTAGCTGAACAATGTATAAAAGATAATCTTAAAATAGGTGGTTCAATGAATGAAATTGATATATTAACTAATTATACATTACCACGTGATATTGTTGAACAATTAGCACGTTATAAACCAGGTGAATTATCATGGAAAGAAAAACTTTCAACTATGGATTTACAAAAAACAAATCGTCAACAATTAGAAGAACTTTATGAAGAAGCAAAACAAGATGGAAAATATCCATTTAATTTACAACAACGATTATTAGATAATTATATTCAAAAAAAATCTATACAAAAAGCATTTACTCTCTTACATGAAATGGTTTCAAATAGACATCAGGTTTGAACAGGTTTTTATTTAGAATAAATAATTAATCATTATAATGAAACAGAATAAGTAACTGTACAATTGATAAGTACCATCAAAACCTAAACTATAAATTATTTTATCTAGTGAAAATAATAGATTGTTCAACACACTGATAACACTTGATAAGAATGAAACATCAAAGTTCATATATCAAAGGGTTATCCTTTAGTACGAGAATGATATTTTTTTTGAAATGCTTTCAAACTAAAGGTCTTCTCTTCCACTTTCAAGTTTTTAGTGTGCCTCTTTTCTAGAGACCTCAGGTTTTTTTTTTGGAAAACTTCTATTTTCTATTTGTAATCTGACACTTTGTGCAAATAGACAACTCAACATAAAAAAATTCAGAAGTTTTCAACAGTCTCTTCGAGATATACAGCTTTCAAAAAATGCATCCTTGATACACTATCCACGGTAAAAGGGTCCGTAGTCTCATAACTTCAAGAGGCTTTGTTCAAAACTTGTGAACTTTTTTTTTCTTTTTTTACAGAAGCTTGTCTATTTGAGCTCTCTATATGAACAAAGTTTCTGATTAAAATTCGAAAATAGGAGTTTTCTGAAAATCTGGGCCTCTAGCAAAAAAAAAATATTCGATAATTTAATGAAATTTCAATAGGAATCCAAATATTTTTAGGATTTTTATCAAAACACTATGCAGTATCTCTAGACAAAAAACCATTAAACCCAGAAAGGAAAATTTGAGAAGATTTTCTTGCGAGCGTGTTGTCTCACGAAAATCTCTAAAATACAACAACAAAATTTCGAAGAAAAGTAAAGATGAATTAGTATAGATCTCAGAAAAAAGCAAAATATTTTAATTGTGGTTCACTGAAAAATAAAACGTATTCTTTATCATTTAATATAGTTATAATCTAAAAGTTTACGCATAGATTACCAATAACTATTGGTACTGTTAGAACAAACTGAAAAACTTCGAGGGACTACTGTTTTAAGAACTTTACTTAGTATACAATAGTAAAAGAAATTTCAGCAATGTAACGAATTGTCTAATGAGAAAATACTTTTTGTGCTTTCTACTTACAGATTAAGGAAAATAGATTCTACTATAAACAGCGAAACAATGTAAGTAAACGCTTTTCAAATTTGATAACTCAAGGTATAGGAGGGGCGACAGGATGACCCTCCCCTTCTCCCAATCTTGAAAAAGTTTTCTCTTTTTCCGGAAAGTTTTAGGATTGTATTATTTTATTGCTTACCAATTTTCAAAAACAAAACAGTCAGATCATCCGCATAATTCAGCCAACTTTAGTATAAGCCTTCCTATTGACCCTCTTCGCAATTCTGGCGACCTTGGGTAGAGTCCATCAGGTCCAACATTTTCGGACTCGTACCCGGAACCTACTTGGCGTGTTTTAACCTCGGAACACACTTGAGAATATATTTGGAGAAATACTATGACGTAGAAATAGTCATAGACATCTTTCAATATTTTAATCAACTATGAGCGAAATTATTTTCCATCACGTTATATTCGTATTTAAATAATGAATATTTGTTTTTCTTGTTTAGATTCATTCATCTATTCTACATCGTTTATTCGATTTTATAACTGTAAAACTTGAGAATAAAACTGACGCATCCAAAGCTGACTATCGTGAAGATTTAAAATTTTTATGTGACCTATATGAAAAATCATTTGGTCTTATAAATTTACCACCGGAATTAACATTTCGTTTAGCTCATATGCATCTTCTTAATGGTGATCAAGATAATGCAATACAAGTTATTTCAAATAAATTAAACTCTAAATTAAATGATGAAATTTATCATTATTTAATAAAATTTCTACAATTAGATTCGTCATTATTAACAACTGATGGTTTAACAGCAATCGGAAATTTATTCCTTAGTTTTCGTATCAATGAACCGATAAGAAAATTTTGGGATTTATTTTTCGATATTCTATTAGAAAAAACAAGTCCACAAGATCTTGTACAATATTATTCTGATGCGATGAGAGAAAACAGCAATATACCTTATCTTCATCTATTTAAAGTAAATACAAAAAAAAAAGAAATTCATCCATAAGCTTTTTTTGTTGTTTTTTTTAGTTATTTATTGAAAAAAATGAATTAAATCGTTTACAAGATATTGTTGATATAGCAACATTACAACATGGTTCACGTAATGTTTTACATGATCTTGCTTTTACATTAATCGAAGGTGGAAAAATAAAACAAGCCGAAAAAATTTTTCGAACACCATGGTTGAAAGCAAGAAATAGTCGAATTAATTTACATGCTTTACTTTTTGCTGGTATGTCAAAGCAAAACAAAGTCTTTTTTTATTTTTCCTCATTGAGTTTTTGTTTACTATAGATTCAAATAATCTCGATGCATTAATTGAAAGTATAAAATTAACACGAAGTTTACCTGGTGTTAATCAAAGTCAATTATTTACATCAGCTATACGGTAAAATAAAAAATAAAATAAATAAAAATTTTTTTCTTTTTGGTTTTTTTAGTGTGGCTTTACGTCTTGATCAATCTGATATGATCGATTGGTTAGTCAAAGAAATAAAAGAAAATCAAATTCAACTTGATATTCGAATAAAAAAGTATATATGAAGTATTTAATAACACTAGCTGAAGTTAGAGAGATATACCTAGGATCCAGAAATTGGCAATTCAAGAAAAATTAAGAAACTCAAAGAATTCAAGCTACTATCACAATTGCATCACTTAGAGTTAAACCGTACCATGGATCTACGGAAATGAAGGAATTCTATTGAATCCCTTGATTTTCTTGAATTGCTTGAATTCCACTGCACTTCTTCAGAGAATGTTATTCTCACCCTCACTATCAAGATCGCCTTGGAAATGAAGGAATCCAAGTTATAGCAGCTTGAATTCCTTAATTTTCCTTGAATTGCCAATTTCTGTATCCTAGGTACTGCTGATTTTGTTTTTTTTCATATATGATAAGTTTTTATTGATAGTCATTAGAAAAGTCTATACGCTTAAATAATCTCATAGACTTGAACTATGAATAAACATGAATCGATTAGGTTTAATTCATATGATACGTTGCACATATACGACTCAAAATTACAATTTTTGTGCAGCATAATAAAATGAAATCTTATTCTTTTTTTTGTGAGAAAAGTACTTTGCAAGTTTTTTTATACCTCCATGTGAGTCTTGGTCTTATATTATAACTTATATGTACCACAGCCATTTCTTGTTTGAACAGCAAGATATATTATGCATCAACGATTGGAAATAATTGCTAATGTGTTACAGTATTCCACTTGTAGTTATATACATCTAATGTTACTAACTTGATCATGCTCCATTTTTGAATGTATTAATTTTCATCTGCAAGTGAATTGATAGATCCTTAACAAATATAATAGTCAACAGAAATCATACTTTCCCTTCTCTGCGTTGAGACTGAAGCTTCACCATTCTCTATCACTTATCAGCGAAGGAAGACGACAATGTAATGTTTATAGCATGAATGTCAGATGACTAGAAAAGCACAATCTCGTATAAGGTACAAATGTTCAGATTCCAACGTAGGTTTATGCATTGCAAGTTGTTTTCGAGATTATGATACTTTGGAAGTATATTAACAAACTTGAATGAAAAAAGCATTAGTTGACTCTGGAAATTTTTTTTTTCAACAAATAATTTCCTCATAACATTGTAAAAAATTTGTATAGGGTACGAAATTGCAGCTATCAATATGAAAAATAATAGCGCGATATAGAAGAAAAAGAAATTCTTCCAACATAATTTTATGATTTATAAGGTTTTCTAATCCTTTCTCTCGTCATATATCGTGAGGGACATTTTATTTAACACTAAAGGTCCAATGTCTTCGTTGTAAGCTTTTAAAACTGTATCTATCAAAACCAAAATAAGAAACTGTGTGTTACATTTGCTCTGTTTGACCTATGGTGATATTTACAAATGCAGAACAGAAAGAGAAGATTCTATGTTGCGGTCATGTTTATTTTGTTCACATAAGTTTAACTAAAGATTATGAAACACGAACATTTCTATGTGTTCATTTTCTTATAACAATATTTTGTATTGGTTTAGATATCTTGATGCTCATTTATTATCAAAAGGTCTTGATCCATTAAAAATTGGTGCTTATGAAAATAAAAATAAAAATGAAAAAGACTCAACTTCATCTTCTGATGATGATGATGGTATGAACATTCTATTATCATCATAAATATTCTAGTTCTTTTTGTTTCATTTAAGTACCCGTCCAAGAACAGCACAAGATAAGTGCTCAAAATTAAATACGAACAGTTAAATAGGCTAATTCTTTGTGTGTGTTTGATCCTATTCAGTTTGTTTCTCTCATCATTTTTTATTGAGCCGCGTTGAATTTTTCTGTGTTGCTATTTTCTTTTTTCTTTGTCTTTACTTTCGTTATCCGTGATAAAAACCGCACCATACTTCAAACATGCACCTGTATCAACCACTTAGAATTTACAATGAGATCAATCGATAATTTTCAACATGAAAAAACGGATTTACAGTAAGATTGGAAGGTGTCTTTTTTTGTTTTGTTTTGGTTTTTCTTTTTCTTTTTTGTTATTTTATGACCTTTCATCTTTTATGATGAGAATAAAAACCACTCGTAGAAGAAGAATAAAAGTCGTCAACACTTACAGAAATATTCATTCGTATAAGAAACAAATTTCAATATGAATACAATTATATGCTTGATTGTATTTTTTCATTTATTTGTAAACCAAGCACAAGCAGAACAATGTCAATTAACATTAAATGATGATGTTCAATTGACAACAAGTACATTTCTTCAATCACGACATTTTTGTAGTTCATATAATCTTCTTCCAAAAAATACATACCAAATATTTATATCAGGCCGTATAGTTGATTATAAAAGTCGTTGTAAAAGAAGTATAGCTAATGCCAATATTGAAATAATACATGTACAACCAAGTTTTCGTTCAATTTGTCATGAACTTAACCATCCCAATTCACGTGGTTATTTTAATGTATCAACTTCGGTAGCAATGCCATTAACCGAACAACTTTTCTTACGTGTAACATCACCCGGTTATGAAACAATTACTAAAGAAATTATTTTATCATCATCACAAAAACGACCACAAACTATTATTCTCAAATGGCAAATTGTTTTAATGCCAACCATAGAACAAATTAAACCACAAAAACAACAACAACGAATGAATTCTAGAATCGATTCTCTTATGTCTCAAATGACATTAGATGAAAAAATTGGGCAATTAAATCTTGTTACACTTGGTTTTGATGTAACTGGTCCAATTTTAAGTCAAAATGTTGAAGAAAATATTCGTCGTGGTCTTATTGGTGGTGTATTTAATACTTATACACCCAAGGCTGTTCGTCCCTTACAAGAACTTGCTATGAATAGTACACGTTTAAAAATTCCATTGATTTTTGGTTATGATGTTATTCATGGACATAAAACTATTTTTCCAATACCATTAGGAATAAGTACAACATGGGATATGGCATTAATAGAACAAAGTGCACGCATTGCTGCTCAAGAAGCAACAGCTGATGGTCTTAATTGGGTTTTTTCACCAATGGTTGATATAGCACGTGATCCACGTTGGGGAAGAATAGCTGAAAGTGCTGGTGAAGATCCTTGGTTAGGTAGTCAAATAGCTGCTGCTATGGTACGTGGTTATCAAGGACATGATTTAACGCGTCCGAATACAGTTATGGCATGCATTAAACATTTTGCTTTATATGGTGGTTCAGAAGCAGGTCGTGATTATAATACAGTTGATATGAGTCGTATAGCAATGTATCAAAATTTTCTTCCACCTTATCATGCAGCTGTTAAGGCTGGTGCTGGTAGTGTGATGACATCATTCAATGAAATTGATAGTATACCAGCATCAGCTAATCGTTGGTTGTTACAAAGTTTATTACGTGAACAATGGAATTTTAATGGTTTTGTTGTTACAGATTATACAGCAATTAATGAAATGATTCATCATGGTATAGGTGATCTACAAGAAGTTAGTGCTCGTGCATTAAATGCTGGTGTTGATATGGATATGGTTGGTGAAGGATTTTTAACAACATTAAAAAAATCTTTAAATGAAGAAAAAATAAATGAACAAACAATAAATCAAGCATGTCGTCGTATTCTTGAAGCAAAATATAAATTAGGTTTGTTTGATGATCCATATCGTTATATTGATGAATCACGTACACAAACAGATATATTTACTTATGAAAATCGTTTAGCAGCAAAAGATTTGGCTCGTCGTTCATTTGTTCTTCTTAAAAATGATCGCCGAACATTACCATTAGCAAGATCTAATTTAAAACTTGCACTTATTGGTCCATTAGCTGATGATCATAGAAATTTAATCGGTAGTTGGAGTGCTGCTGGTGATTGGCGACAAGCAATTAATGTTCGTGATGGTATTAATAAACTTCTTGGAGATAAAATAGAAGTTTTATATGCAAAAGGATCAAATCTTATTGAAGGTGCACCTTTGATCGAACTATTAAATGCACATGGTGGTGATATTGTATTAGATGAACGATCTGCTCAAGAAATGATTGATGAAGCTGTAGAAATATCAGAAAAATCCGATGTTATTGTAGCTGTTGTCGGTGAAGCACAAGGCTTGACAGGTGAAGCAGCAAGTCGAGCAGATATCGGATTACCAGAATATCAAAAACGCTTACTTCAAGCATTATTTGATACAGGTAAACCAGTCGTTATTGTATTAATGAATGGTCGACCACTGACATTAACATGGGAACATGAACATGCAGCAGCTATTTTAGAAACATGGTTTGCTGGTACAGAAGCTGGCACTGCTATTGCCGAAGTACTTTTTGGTTTTTATAATCCAGCTGGTAAACTTACAGCAACATTTCCTCGTCATGTTGGACAAATTCCATTATATTATAATCATAAAAATACTGGACGACCATTTAATGTAACTCAATGGACTGAAAAATACAAAGTAAAGAAGACAAAAATTTGTTTTGTTTCAAATGTTTCAATATATATTGCTTTTTTTCTAATTTAGAGTCGTTATTTAGATGTACCTAATGACCCATTATATCCATTTGGTCATGGTCTTAGTTATACGTCATTTAATTTTGGTCCAATATATGTAGACAAAAATGAACTTCGTGGTGATTCTGATCGTTTAACAGTACGCATTAGTGTACACAATATTGGTGCATATGCTGGTGAAGAAGTTGTTCAATTATATATAAGTGATCCAGCAGCAAGTGTCACGCGAGCTGTACGTGAATTAAAAAAATTTAAAAAAATATTTCTTCGATCACAACAACAAGAAGAAATTTCATTTATTATAACAACAGATGATTTAAAATTTTTTAATACTAATCTAGATTATATTTGGGAAGAAGGAGATTTTATTATTCATATTGGTCCTGATTCAGTCAATACTCAATCAGTACAAGTTAAATGGCTCAAATAGAGAGCTACAAAAAAGAAAATCATAATAAAACAAATAATTACAGTTTTTTTTCTTTATTCATGAGAAACAATAATAGATTTTGAAAAGCAAAATAAAATTTTTTTTATTTTTTCAATTCAAATAAAATTATAAATTTCTTATTTAGATTAATTAACGTGTATGTCTAATAGAATGTTATGCATATTGGAATTCAATATAATTGTATTAAATCAAGTTTTCAATTGATTTAAACGAAATACTTTTAATTAACTATTAAAAGTTTCGTAACAAATTAAAAAACCCTTTTTTCTCTTTCAAATTTTTAAAAACAATTTATGTTATATCTAATTCAAATTTTTTTATTGGCTCTTTGGAATTTTAATTCTTAGAAAATAATATTTCGAGGCTTCTGCTCTGTCAAACAACTAAGAAGATTAGAGTCAATCTAATATTTGTGTTATGCAAATTAAGTTCTGACATTTTTTTTTGTATTACATGTTATTAAAAAAAGAAAAATGGTCCTATTGTAAAAAACCTTGAATATGTCAACGAAAGCAATTCTGAAATCGATCAGATATTTAGTAAAAAAAAGCATCAATGTTACTAATATTTTACTGCTAAAAAAATCAATTCATTTCGATAAACAAAAATTCTATTTTTTTTATCAACATCAAGTATTTTAAAAAAACACACAATACGAGACAAGAATCTTCAATTTTAAAATATGAAAATTTCTTAATTCTAAATATGTCGAATGATATAATTTATTTAATAGGTATAAGTGATGTGTGTGTGTATGTGTATGTATGTATTTATACTCAAAGTATAGATATTGACGCTTTCACAATCATTTATATGATGCCCTCATGCCGTGCATTTGTTTCACACTTGTTATTATTTCAAACAGCGGTTTTTTTCGAATATAGTGAAGTGCTTATGTATAATACTGTATATTTTTTAATGCGATGAGTATGGCAAAGATCAACATTCTCTTCTATAAGTTCATTTGTTCTTTTCACTTCCATTAGACAATATGAATGATAGATGATCATTGTATTTGTCCTTGAAGAAAAATTTTTTCTTTTTTTTTTTTTTTTATTTTGTTCTTTATTTTAATTATTCATTCAATTTATCTCTTTATCAACGTTTCAAATTTCTTCTAACATATTTAATTCAAAAGATTGTCCCGCCTTTTCTGTTCTTAACACGCATACATATGAATGGGTCATTTGACAAGCTTCTTTAATCGGATATTATTCCATTTCTTTTTCTTTTTCTTTTTTCTTTCCTATTTTTAACTCGTTATTCAATAGATTTTACATCATGCATTGTTAAAAATCTTTAGAATATATCATATAGAAATGACATTGAACACTTTCGTTGCTTTATAAGCATAATACGTTAGTATGTACGTGTGTCGTACACGGTTGATTTTTTTTCTCTCTTTTTTTTCTCAAAGTATAACGATTGAATGAAGAAAGACAGAGACGAGAAGTATAGGTAATTTGCTACACGAATCAAACTTCAATTGTTCGGCTGAATAACGTGGCCAATCGACGTATACATAAACGTCGTAAATTATAGCCTATGAGACGAAAGAAGAGAGAGGTGATTGTCAAGAGATAACATACGAACATACAGTGTAAACGTCAATATACATGTGTAATTAGTACATGTATGAATATATACATACACGCATAATTTGTACCAATATATTTAGGCAAAAGACACACTTGACTTAGAAAAGAAAAAAGAAAAAAAAAAATTTTTTTATTTTTTTCTTGAACATTGGTAGAGATAACTAAAGGCTTCGTCTTTTTAATAGTAGCGCCCATGTGAGAAAGAGACATCATTTGTTTGTCTACACTTTTAAGAATAACTAACAGAGAAATGAATTTGTTAAACTGCAGACAACAAAAAATCAAAAGGCTATTCGATACTTTGTATCTTTTCTTTCTGTTTTTTTTCACATTTTCTTTTTTTTTTTCTATTACTCTTTTTGTTTGTATGAAGGAAGCCTTTCTTTTTTGCTCACTTATTCTTCTATTCAAATCTGAAATGTCACTTTCGCTTGTTGAGAATATTTATAACTACAAGAGCACAGATTTTATGTTTACTCGGCAGATGACATTGTCCATTTCTTTTTTTCTTTTCTTTATGTCTACTATAACTAATTGTCTTAATTCATAATTTATTCACATAATGTAGACTGATGTCGGTTCAATGTATGTTGACGAAACAAACACAACACTTGATTTATTTGTTAAACGATATTTTTCTTCTGTGTCTGTATTAAAAAAGAAGAAGAAAGGTGCCGGTTGGTAATTTTTCATAAAATATTTAAAGAACAGGCCGTCATTCATGAGAACACTAACATTTCAATCAAATAGAACGTGTTGAATTTGTCAAATGAACAACAAGATTTGAGAAGAAAAAGATGATTATGAGACAAGCAAGATTGCAATTAGACTAAAAAAACGTATACTGGCAAGTGTCAAAGTCAAACTAAAGAAACATGTGAATATATAGTGAGGTGCGAAGACAACTTGCTGTGATGATCGGTTAATGGGACTAATTTGAAAGAGAGCTCTTCTCAGTCAGCATGATCCGTTCATTCAGTTTTCACGCACGATTCTATATATATTACAAAGGTTTTGTTAACAGAAGTTGTGATACTCTGCTTATATTTCTTTGCCATCATCTCTCTAATATAATATGATGCTTTACATTTACACTTCGATTATTGCAGAAGGAAAAAGAGATCTGTTGCTTCTCATTTTCTTTCTTTCTTTCTTTCTTTCTTTCTTTCTGTATTTCTCTCTTTTCTTTACACTCATATACTTATTTTTCATTGGCTCTGCCGTTCGTTTTATCGTGCCACCAATCGTGACCATTCTAATTATCCATTCCGTTCGAGGACAAGAGCGATGACGTTGAGTGGAAAAGAAATACAGAAAAAAAAGAAAAGAGAGAAGTATTGATCGTACCTTAATTAACCTTTTCTGTTCTGATCCACAGTGTTAGTAATAGTAGTGAGGTTCGGACATGAAGAAAAAGAGAGAAATTGGTAATCGAGCACCAATAGCAACCGAGAGAGAATAAGAGAACCTTTCTCGTCTCGTGTATGCGTTTATTAGGCGATGGCTGTCTTATAGCTATTATTATGAAGCAAAGGCAATGTAGAGAAGAGAAAAGAAAACAGTATGATAGAAAGAAAATGATACTGAAACTCAATTCGACGAGAACGAGAATAAGAAGAAGAAGAAAAAAAAATGAGAGAAAGAAAGAAGCGAGAAAGAACAACATCAAGACATAGAGACACTCTACCCACCACCGAGAAAATGATATACATCCAACCTGCGCGCGAGCTAGCGAAAAAGAGAAGAAGCCAGAGAGAGAAAAAAAATATATATTCACTACCTCTTGCAACACTTAACGGTACATTGCGTTAAATAGCAACGAGAAACAGAGAAAGAGGGAGAGAGAGAAAGAGCACAAAGAAATATCGACACACATACGACAAGTGATACCGACAGTCGATAATCCTTCTTTTTTTTGTGTGTCTATCTTCTTACTTCTAATGCTCGATTGATTTTGGACAAAACAAGACAATTTATAAAAACACATTTGACAGGTTTGTCTCTATTAATTATAATTGATCAATTTAAATCAACACAGAGTTATAACGAACAAACAATATCAATAATCATTTTCTTTTTATTCTCATTTATTTATAGAAAGTTATTCCACTTTTTGACCTAATCATATAAAAGCCGTCAAAACGTTATCACTCAAGACTTTACTTCCAGCGCCACGTCCGCTTTTAGCGAACGTTGGCCTGGTTACATCTTCATCATCACCCATACCACCACACAAAACAAAAACATCTATTAGTCGATCACCATCATCATCGTCATCATCATCATCAAATTCATCAAAATCATCCTCATCCGGTTCATCAAGATCCCGTTCACGATCACCAATATCTCGTCGTTCACGTTCACCAACACCTGATAAACCACCAACACCATCATCATCAACACCTCCAGTTACAATTAATAACTCCAATGTATCATCATCATTATTACAACAACAAGCAGCTGCAGCAGCTGCACTTTTTTCTAGTAGTTCTCTTAGTTCATTATTACCTATGTATAGTATGGGTCTTTTTCCAATACCTCCCCCACCACCACCACCACCTATTTTACCTGCAGTAAATTTTTCACCCGAACAAATAGCTCGTGTTTGTGAAACATTAGAAGAAAATGGTGATATTGATCGATTGGGAAGATTTCTTTGGTCATTACAAGTTGCACCTGGCTCAGCAAATCTTTTAGTACAACATGAAAGCATTTTACGTGCTCGGGCACTTGTAGCATTTCATTTGGGTAATTATCGTGAACTCTATCATTTATTAGAAAATCATAAATATACACGTGATTCACATGCAAAATTACAAGCTATGTGGATGGAAGCACATTATCAAGAAGCAGAAAAATTACGTGGACGACCATTAGGACCAGTAAGATTCTTTAGTGTTTTTTTTTTTCATTTTTATTTTTATTTTTATTTTTTACTTTAGGTTGATAAATATCGTGTACGAAAGAAATATCCATTACCACGTACAATATGGGATGGTGAACAAAAAACTCATTGTTTTAAAGAACGAACACGTTCTTTGTTAAGAGAATGGTATTTACAAGATCCATATCCAAATCCGGCCAAAAAACGTGAACTTGCACAAGCAACTGGATTAACACCAACACAAGTAGGAAATTGGTTTAAAAATCGGCGACAACGTGATCGTGCAGCACAAGCCAAAAATCGGTAAATATTTCATAAGATTTATTTTCAATTGATTTTTATAAATAATTTTTACATTTTCTAGACAACAATATGGTATTGGTGCAGGTAGTTATTCTCCACCATCATCACCTGATTCTTCAACAACGTGAAGAGCAAAATAAAATTAAAAAAAAAACATACAAAAAAAAATTCGTCTCCCGGTGCTCTCTCGGTAAGGGAGACTTTCTTTGTATCTATTATATATTTTCTGTCTCTATTTCGTCTTCTTCTTCTTCTTTTTTTTGTTCAGTGACATTTTCTTCATCGTTTTCTTTTTTTTGCTGTTGTTGTTTGCTATTCTATTACTATTACTATCACCTAGCTTTTCTTTTTGTCTCTTTGATTCGGATGTTTTCTTTTTTGTTTTTTTTTTTTCGTCTTTTCATTTTTTGCGTCTCTGAACAACCATTTGTCGAATCATAAAAACAAAAAAAAAGAAATAAAACATATATATCAATTATGAGAAAAGAAAGCCTATATAGATGGATACAATGGCCGTGTAATTGACAAATGTTTCATTGCTCTCGTATGCCAGTTGATAAACACATCAACGTTTGTTTTCACTAGATCGTCTCTCTAATCGTTTGAGCGAGCGTATGCAGCTCCGTTCTCTTTCTCTTGTAATTATCCGATTCGCACGGATAAACATGCCGCTAGCCAGAGAGACATAGACAGACGATTTACTTATCCTTTTTTTTTCTTCTACTAACTTGTCGTTTTTTTCCTCGCTTCTGCTAATATTTATCATTGACATCTCTTTTTTATCATAGAGAGAAACATTGAGATAATCATTATAATTGATGCTTGTCTTTCTTTCTTTGTATTAAAGAAAACAAAATTATTTATACATACAAATTTTCTTTTTTTTTTTTTTTTTTGAAGCAATTTCGTAATAGAGAATTGAAAAAACATGATCTATGTTTATTAAGAATTTTTTTTTTTTATTGAAATAGATTTTGAGAGATCATTTATACATTGTATTTAATGATTGGTTGAAAAGAGAAAAGAAAAGGTTTAATCAGGCGGTAAATGCATCGAATCAGATTTGTTGAGAGAAACAAAAATCAATGATGATATAGCGTGCAGTCAAGGAGAAGGCCGACACATTTATACTAATTGCAATAGTTCGTTATGTAAACGCTTCTTTTTTTTTCAACATGTTAAGTGATTGAACAGATGATCAAGAGAACTGTTCACTAAGGGGTGCCAACTTTATATATATATTTGATCTGAAAATTTCATATTTATTATTTTTATTTTTTTTCGTCTTTTTTTTTCAAACTAATTATTGATTTGTGCGTATGTGAAATAAAAAGGACGGTTCGATGTTTAATAATGATGCAATCGCTGTCATCATTATCAACATTCTGACGTTATCAATATATCTATCTTCCTATCTAACTATCTCGCTTGTATGTGTCGATCACTTGTCACCTTGATCATCTTTTTCTTTACATAAAAAATCACACGAGTTATATCTTCAGGGATACAAAATTTTTTTTTTTTGGGGGGGGGGGGGAGAGATTTTGCTAAGTATAAACTTTTTGACCTGCGTTTTCATGGATCAAATTCATGTAAATAATGACAGAAAAAAATCAGTTTGTTTTGTTTTACAATCTTATTAGAAAAACAAACTTTTGTTCGTATTTCGTTTTTATTAAACTCAATGTTGTCATTGTTTGAAAAAAAAAAGAAAAAGAAATCGATAGAAAGGATTTCTTTCTTCGTATTATTTTATGTTTGAGAGAAAGAATAGAAGAAATTATTTAATCGTCAATCTTATTGATAATCTAAATATATGAACAAAAGAAACATGCAATCATTTGTATATATAGTGTTCATGTTTCACATCCTCGGGGCGTGAGATGATAATGAAGATTGCTTCATTGTTGTTGTTGTTGTCGTTGTTATTCTTGACGAATTAGAATGGCAACTGATGAAAGATCTAGTATGCAACGAAGAAAAAAAATCTGACAGAGATAATTATCCAGCATATATATATATGTATATATGTATATATGTATATATATATAGAAAGGACAAGTGGTAATGTCTGAACGAGAGGCAGACAGAGAACTCGTCAACTATCTAACTAACACAAGAGTATGTGTCTGCTGAAGGCATTAATCTGTGGTGAATTTCCAAGTAATCGAATTGATTATAAATCAGTCGACGAGAAGGAGAACGATCTGCCGCTAGGCAGACAGAATGAAGAATCAGATTTCATCAGACGCGCGCGAACGCGGATGTGAAGACGTTTATTTTTTAGGACGCACGAGAATGCGGAAGCTGTTTCTATGTTATATTACGCTCTCGATCTTTAAGGCGGAGAAGAACAAGAAGAAAAACTCTAACTTGTTAACAAGAAAAAGCGAAAGAAAAAAACCTAGGATGAATGATTCTATCATCTTCAGACATGGATGATTAGCTACATAGACGAATACAAGACCTATATTCTCCTTATGAATGTGCATCACTGGGTGTTAAATTGTGACGCGTTGTCGATGATAGAAGGAAATAGAAAGATAATCTTGTTAGCTACATCGACCGATCATCATCACCATCATTATTATTATTATCATAGGCCATCAGTGTAAAATGACAGTAGAAAAAGAGACTGATTGATTTCCGTATCCAGATGTCCAAAAGAAAAGAAAAAGACGACCAAATGAAAATCTGTCAATAAAAGCTAGTATTACTTATTAAGACTGTCTTATCAATAATTTTTCAATACTAATAAATAATGTCTTTTATTCAGATTCTCATACATAGAATCGTTTTCATTTGGTCTACATTTACATACAGTGAAATGATTTGAGCAAACATTAGTACAAGTCAGTTTTGATCATCATTCCGATTGTATCCATTGAGCAGCAGTTCTTCTCAGCATGAGCTTAAATAAATAGACTAATCAATACACATAACATCATTTGTCCTGATGAATGAATGAATGAATGAATAAATACACTAAAGCGTATATAACATATACATCATCAAGTCTTTTTTTTTTATGAATTGTTGATCTTTAAAAAAGACTAATTTTAACATTCTTTTTCTACTCATTGAACAGGTGTTAGGTGTGTGCATTTTGTCTAATCAGTGATCATCATCATCATCAACAGATTGGGAACGTAAAGCACAAGGCGTCAATTGGTAAACATTTTGTTTTCACACTTTCTTTTTCTTTTCAACAATGTTTGATCCTTCGTTTTGTCGTTGTCGGACAAGCCTCAAGGGATTTCTGCTGTCCGCATTGGAACTGTCGATCAAAAAGAAATAAAATGAAAACGACAGAGTAAAAATATTGACAAGCATTCATCTGTACATTTATGTGGGAGAGAGAGAAAATGAAGAGCCTAATGCAATTCGAGTATTATCGATAGTTTCTAACTAAGACGAATGACAAATATTATCTTATACATGTGTATTATATGTGTATATGTTTTGTTTGACAGTTGAAAATCAGTATTGAACGATGACAAGTGGAAATAGGGAAAGAGAGAGAGACAGACAATATACAGAGTTCTGTTTGTCTACGTAATGGACGTGATGGCCGCAAGCTACATTGACTTGTTCACTTTTGTATTTTTTTCTAATCTGTTTAACAGTCAAACGACAGAAATATCAAAGAATAATAATGATAATAAGGATTATTTTATTGTTCAATCAACAAAAAATAGGACTTTTATAATCTGACAAATCCAAAGATTCTGCGTTTTTTTTTTGGTATTTTAACTTTTTCGCTATCTTCTAGTCATTGAAATTGCTCTTAGGCATTTTTGATATTTTAACAGAAAATTAATCATTTTAACCTATTCGATAAGTATGAGTGCTCTCAATAAATCTTTCGAGCGTAAACGATACGAACAGCATGTCAATGTTCTACAATTGTTTATGTGGAAGATGATGTTCGAATGGTTGAATGATTCGACACTCTCAGATAACATTGGTTTTATCTTGTATTTCTCAAATGTGTTGTTTAGAACGTTGTCTTTAACATTAAAAATTAGTAATAAGTAGAATAGACAGATGTTCAAGCGTAAGTCGAGTATCTCATTAGAGAAACGCTGAGCAAAAGAGAGAAAAGGAGATGTACTCCTCCAGTTTTTTTTTTCAATCGATATAATGAACTCTCAACATCATCTGTACACATGCGACTGTGAATGAGACTCAATGTCATAATATTATGCTGTTCAAATATACTTTAATATCATATTGAAAGAAAAAATTAACTTCAATTTTGTTTTGCAATTTTCATACACTCGACTTTTTCTTTTTCGAATATATACAACAGTGTTTAAATGACTTTTTTTGAATAGAAATCAATGATTGTACATGGTGAGCTCACACACATCGAAGTTAACTGTGTAAAGAGCAATGAGACTTACAACAGCAGGGAATCTGTTTAATAAGAAGAATAAGAATAAGAATAAGATTGAAACATTTGCACACGTTATGTGACGCACATCTATCAATGTGTTGTCTAGATCGATAATGATATCTTTTCTTGTGTGACTCTAACACTTCATTAGAAAAGATGATGTTAGTAGATCTCTTTTTTTTCTGTCAATGACTAAATATAAAAAGGAAATGAGAATGCCACTATTTAATTTGACACACATATATACACTAATACTGAATCGTGCCATGCAATGAAGAACATGACATCCGTAAGACGCTCATGCACATTCGATGATAATGATGATTATGATTTTAGTATGGTAAAGGTGTGTGTGTGTGCGTGTGCATGTGTGTGTACTTTGCGCGAGAGCGAGCAAATTCCGTTTGACAAACGTTTCCGATCTGTGAACGGTCGTATCTTCTACTTATTTGACAACGAAATGAAGTGTATGAGATGAAGGTATTAAAAGAGGAAATTGATCGTTTCCGTCACAAGAATAGATATAAAAGTAACGCACGTACCGCATTTCTTTTTACTTTACTTTTCGGGACTTTTATCTTTTTTTTCTTTTCCAGCAAGTAAATTAATCGTATAATATAAATAGTTTTCCTATCGACAGTTTGTAATTGTCACAAATAAATATCTTTTTTAGTTTGTACTTATATTCTAAACACTTGTTATAATCTATCTTAAGATAAGGAAATATTCTGTCTTCTCTTCTTTTTTTTTTTCTCGCACTCTTCATCTAATGATGAAGATCATCATCATTTGATGAAGAGATGCCTCTTATATATTTCTACTGAATAAATGTTGTCAAATGTAGTCTTTCTCTTTTGCTTGTCATCATTTTCATTCAACTGACTGATTGGACTGAGAGTATAAGACGACGAAACATTGACGCGCATGTCATGTAAGACCATAGTCTCTTGAGAGAGTAAGGCGAACGCGGATTACCATGACAGTTCGATTGCTGATGAATGTTCTCGTGGGATAGAGAAAAAGAAAAAGAGTTAGACTAAAGAACAACAGGCGATGAAGACGACAAGTGACATGCAACAATCTTTTTTCTATTGAGATGGATAAAAAAATACACTATTGCCATTCGATACACATACACACATGTCGACACCAAATGGTTTATTCATGATTGCTTGCTTACTCTATTCTAAATGCAGATGAAAGAGATAGATAAAAAAAAGTACAAGAATAGCGCAGATGATGATTATGATGATGGTTCTCATTTTGTTTTCTTGCACGCACATGCATATACAACTATAAATGATTTTGCTTGATGAATAATAATAATAATAATAATAAAAATGATAATGCATGAATATCAAAAAATCTTTAAAGATTCATTTGACAATACTTGATACTGATTTTAGTTTCATATTCATAAAGTTTTAGAATATTGTCTTCAAATGGGCGTTGACTTTTTCAAATAATATTACTCTCAAGACAGATTAATTGTCTGTAATTTCAATCAAAGATAGTTCTTACGAAAAAAAAAGGAAACTTGTGCATTATGACTACTTCTTTCAACTATGCAATGAATATTATATTTAGATTTCATTCAATAACTTTTGAGCTGATTGTTAACAAATAAAAAATTGTCTTTGCAAATCTTCACGAATATGTATGCGAAATAATTTTCATTTGCATTAAAAAAACATAGCACGTACCTAGGTTATTTCTCACTAGACAGAGTAGTCATTTTCACTGTTGTGATAATGTATCTATCAAAGACTTCTACGTCGATATCAGAACATGATTTTCCCAATGATTTTTATTAACGGGTGGTGTAATACTTGAAAGTTTTAGAATACAAAAAAAATATCCAAGACAAGGCAGTTATTATTTCAACATAGTATCTATAAACTATGTAAAATTTGAAAATCGAATAAAATCAATAAAAAATAATACTCAAAGAAAACATAAGCTTAAAGATCCTTTCTTTTTTCTTTACTCTAGTTCGAGCTTGTTAATATAAACTTGATTTCAATTGAGAACATTTGTGAACTCGGCAACTCCATAGATTTCATTGAATTTCAATTACATTTGAACATAATTTAATGAGAATATATAGGATCAATTGCTTATGGTCATCTAGTTCGATTTTTTTTGACTTTTTAGTGTTTTAAAAAATCTCTTTACTTTTGTCTGAATCTAAATTTTGCCTGATAAATGCTTAATATCATCATTTGCTTCAAGATGATTACGAAAATTAAAAACAAAGAAAAAATGCTTCCATTTAGTTAATATGAGTTGTTAAAATTAGAGATATGCATCGGAATCATTTTTAGGAGAAATTGGAGCTCTCTAAATTGTCTAATAGTAAATTAGGTTGAGTATCATAGACTTCGTTTTGAATGATAAATATTATTCTTTGATAACTATTGTACAAACTGATATACGTTGAAGGTTCCATTCATGACTTGTCAGAATTTAGTCAAGGTGCATTCCGACTTCGTTTCTTGAACGTAAGTCTCGAAGAGTTACCAATCGAGCTTTTCAAAACATGTCAGTTTGTACATTGAAGTCCCAAGAATAAAATTTACCATTGAAAAAAAACTTCTTATGTTAAATTTGACTTTTTTACTGAGATATTTAGTTGACTTCGATGCGAGTCTCTAGTCAAACATCATCTAAAGTATCACTGTTTGATAGAGTTTAGTACGAGCAACAAACTAATAAATCTAGTTATTTTTAGATTTTCAAGTGTGTTGTCTATTGCCATTTGGAAGTAAAATTAGAACTGGACGAGTCTCATTCATTCGTTCATTCAGAAAAAAGCAAAATTTGATAATTCAATACTAACATTAATGTCTTTTGAAAGAAGAATATTTAACTAATGATCTTATGTGCAAAAAAGTAAACTTAGATCGATCTCTTAATAAACTTCGTAGAAAAAAGGTTTTTATTATATTATCATCATCAATTAAACGTATGGTTGTTTCGAAGTGATTTCTTTAATAATACTGTATCGTTCATGTTTTACAGAAGTTAATAACTGTATTTGAACATATTTCAAGTCCAACAGAGAATTAATTTAAATGATAAAAAAATCATTTATACTTGGAAACAGGTTTAAATTTATGTTATTTTGTTTATAAAAATGATGCTTTGTTTTTAATGTAGTGCGAAACTGTATAAAAACAGAATAGCTGATTTGTTTGTTTTTATTGTGTTGATATATCAAGAGTAGTTGTGTCATTTTATTTGATGTGAGATTTTTTGTTTTTTGTTTTACACATAAAAACTAGAAACTAGATTTTGTGTAATGAAAAACTTGTTGTTAACGTTCTTTATAAAAAAATGATAAAAATAGTTTGATTCGTTAGGTCTCTTGAGAGAAATGATTTAACAGATAGTTTGCCAAAGAATTGTTAAGAAGAAACTTTGATAAAGAATCACAAATTTTTCATTATTTATATGAAACAGATTTTCTTTATACATAAACAAGCGACACTACTTCGACGTTTCTTTATTTGTCAACGAATACAAACCAATGACATTTATCAAGACATATTAGTCTTACCCATAAATTAAAATTTTTGTTTGTTCAATTTCTACTTTCATAGAAATAATTATGTGTGAATCTCCACAATCTTGGCAATCGACATCTTTCTGTAAGTTGTTTAAAAATTTTTAGAAAAAGTTTATTTTTTTTTTTGAATATTTTATTTCTATTCATTAGATGATTGTACTGGCCGTGGACGACCGAAAGGTTTTTGTGTAGAAATTCCATCACCACATGCTTCTAGTCTTAAATTAACACCATGTGAAATATCACAAAGTACACATTCATCTGAATTATTTCTTGAACTTGAACCACCATCTGTACCATTATCAAGTGATGATTATGAAGAAGATTTAGAAAAATTCTCTAAAGAACAAAATAATACTTCTAAAGTATTAGTTGTAAATAATAAAGAAATTAAAAAAGTTAGTCAAAAGAAAGAAACTCATAATTTACCAATAGTTTGTCCACCAGTTCAATTACCACTGAAACGTGATGATAAACAACAATTATCATTAGTTCTTTTACCATGTTTACAATTTCCTGAATCATATTCTTCACCAACTGAAATTATTGTTGATTATTGGCGTCGATATCATACAATGCGTGTATCATTTTCTCAAAAAGAAATTGGATATTTTTCAACTGCTGATCGTGCTGATCGAACACGATGTCGAGAAGATTATCGATATTTAAAAAAATTAATTTATCCACTTGAACAAAAAAGAGTTCATTTTGATCTTAATATTGGTGCTGAATATCTCGATGTAAAAGTCGGTATTTTTATATCTGTTATGAAATATTTTCTATTAAGTCTAAACTTTTTTGTTTTATTAGGAACCACCAGCTTCACTTGATTCAATGATGTGGTGGATTCTTCGACATAAAAATGAATTATTTATTGATAAAAAGTAAAGACGTCATCTACAGAATGTTCTTAATATTCGAACCATGAAAGCAAACATGATTAGTTCCTCAGTAATTCAAAGACTTTAAATATTTTTTTACAGTTCGATCACATATTCGCTAAAGTTTTATTCGATATATTTCAGATAAAGTTTCTGCACGTAAAAAAAGTCAAACTTAAAATAGTACTAAATATTTCATTAGCAACATATTTCAGGAATTTTGTGACCAATACTGTCAGAAAACAATAGAGTTCTGAATTGAACTCGTTGAGTTCGTCCCAAACTCAATGTGACACAGTCCAAAATATCTGGAGACGAAGGAGTCGAATTTTGAAAGACTATAGAATAATTACTAAAGAAAAGATTGATGAAGCTAATAACGCTTGTAAAAATGAGCCAGGAGCAAGCATTTAATCTATGTAACTCTTCTTCGTAGAACTGTTGTACAAATTGTACCTTGTAGGACTTTAATAAAAAATGTTTCGTCATAATTCAGTATGTTGTTTATGTAATGAATCGAATACTTGATTTTGGCTCATTTTCACATGCATCTTTAACTTCATTGACTTTTTCTTCAGTACTTGCTGTAGACCTTCTAGAACATCGTCGATTTTCGACAGTCACACCTTCATAACAACGCTTACATGTGGTTCTATTACAAAATTCAGTTTGTATATTTTTGTTGTATTCAACTTGTGGCTTTCATTTTACAGTAATAGCACAACTCAAATTTTACCATCACTAAAACTATTTTAACTGTGATTTTTATACACACAGATACTATATCTAAAAAGTTTAATGAATATGTTATCAAGGTGTAAAAGAGATATTTAAATCTCTTCAATTGATGAGGAATTATTTACGTTTATTTTTTTTTGTTCGAACTTTTGGAACATTCTGTATTGAAAATCTTTTTTTAAATTATGATAAAATTTAGATTTACTTTTGATTTTTTATCATGGCGTGGAACATTACGTAAAATAATGTCATCATTATTTGATTCAGTTCTTGATTGGCGTATAGGAATTATACGTTGGAAAGGTTGTCATTTTATGTCAGTTTTTCATACAGAAACAGAATTAAAAATTGAAAATGAACCAACTCCAATTGAAAAACGTATGCAATATTGGGGTCATAAATTTGAAGATTATATTACATCAAATAATCCACCATTGATTCCGTCACCAAAAAAAATGTTTTCCACAATGAATAAAGCTACACTTGGTCGTCATATACTTTTATATAGTTGTGAAATAGATGCATGCACATTGAATTCAACATATGGTGAAGAAAAAAAACAAGGCACTTATGTTGAAGTTAAAATTGCTTATGCTAAACATTTGCTGGATTTAAATACGGCTTCGTAAGTAGATATCATAGATAATTGAAAAACTATGAAAAATTTGACTTGGATTTTAATACTTAAGTTTCTTTTTTATAATAACGATAGAATATTTGATTCAACAATATGTAGGAAGAAACAGATGAATAAATGAAATTAGTCGAAATTTCGATTGCAATTTACAACGTAGCAATAATCTTACTATGTACCATTTGAGTATTTAAGCAAAGACTAGCAAAATAATATCATGAGTGTTAAAAGTTAAAAACTTTTTACGACATACTATCCTTGATGGAAATTCAAATGATCTACTTTGCTGAGCCATCTGAACTTCTCATCGAAAGCTTCAACATACACTTTTTTATAGGTTGAAAAATCTTGAATAGATGAGTTTGGATTAGGTTTTATTAGCTTAGTGAATGTCTGTTTATCCGTTACTTACTTAAATATTTATTTTTACAAAAGAGCATAGTTTTGCAAATAGCCTATGGCACGGAGGTCTTGCTACAAAATATTCGTTCATTTTTCAGTTACTACACGGCAACTAATTAGAATCAGAATTTTTCACTATTTTCCGAATACATGTTCAGATTTTTCTTCAGAGATAAGATTGAACAACTATCAGTATGGAAACAGTTTCAACTCAATAGTATTGTAGAGCACTGATATTTGAACGAAATCTTACTCATGCATTTCCACTAAGGAGCTTGTTTCTATAAAAATCGGCATCGTTAAAAAATGCCTGGTATTTGAAAACTTCTTCTAAAGATACAATATATTTAAAATCTATCATGCAAAATCCAATAGCACGTTTTCTCGAGTAAACAAAATTGATCCACTAAAAATTTGTTTCACATTTTGCTTTAAGTGATCGAAAAATGAATGAATATTTTTTGCAAAAAACTTCGCGCTGCAAATTATGTATTTTTGATAAAATTTTATTTAACATAGTATTTGAGTTTGAGCTGCTATTAATTAACTTCTTTTTATATCGAATACTGTACTAATTTTTTTTCTCTTCTCTTTTTTATTTTTAGTTCTCGAAAATATGCGAAATGGTAAATAGGAGATATAAGTTATTAAATAGTGCATAAAATATTTTAGGTGGCAACAATGTTTTTTAGCTGGTATTAATCATATGTTACTTGGTTTTCGAAATGATTATGGTGTTGTTGAATGTTTACAACCGCTTGGTGTAAAAGATATAGAAATACGAGCAGTAAATATTTATATTTCACAAGATAATTAATAAAAAAAAAGTTGTTTTTTCATTTTTTAGAAAACATGGAGTGCTAGTGCATTTATGTCATTTCTTGATGAATTCTGTTCATTTGTTCGACGAACAATTACAAAAGATTGGTCATATGAAGATAGGTAAATAACATTGTTTTTTTGTTCTTTTTATTAAATATAAATTTATTTTCTAGGGATGTATATTTATTCTATTATTCTCCAAAATCAAAAAAAATCAAATGGCGTATAACAAATGAACAACAATATCAATTTCTTCCTGATTGGTTTATAAATGAATTTTCTTGAAAAAGAAATTTAGTCTGATAAAATAATAAAACAAAAATATTTTTGTGAATTTTCTATTCATGTGTTTTTCTGTATCATTAATGTATTTGAAATAATTTTTGATATTTAAGCAATAAAAATTTTGAATAAAAAGAAAGCAACTAAGCGCGTTACATTTTCTATTCTCAATGATATTCGTTCATCTTGTATTTTGGTTGTTTATAATTCTTTTTATTTATATTCTAATTAAATGTCATGAATATATAAATGCAATAATTGTTTTTATTGGTGGATTATTTATTGAAAAACTTCATTTAACAAATGTTTTATTTAATCATTCAACATATCATGCATTTATTCATTTTTTCTATTGGCTTTTAAAAAGCAATTCTTTGATTACAATTGTTGGTTTATTAATAGCTATTTCAACATTTTCGACACTTATCGCAATGTTTAAACAATGGATCAAAATTGGTGTACTTATAACAATATTGTATTGGCTTGGTAGTTAAGAAAAAAGAAAAAACAATCAAACGAGACAGAATCTCATTTTCTTTCTTCATATTATTTTTTTTTTTCTTTTCTTAATGAAGACAAAAGAAAAGATTGTTATGTGTTTTCATGTTGTTCTTGTATTATATTTATGATTGATTTGTGTGTATGTTGAAAGAATGTTACAAGACTACCATCGACAAACAACAATCAAACCATTTGCACCAATATTCAAAGGTAAACTATAATAATTTTTCTTTATTTTTTTCATTTCTTGTAAAAATATTTTAATTAGATCGAAGTAAAAAACGATGGGATAGTGATCTTTCGATTCGAACAAACATATCACTTTTATCTATTTCAAATTCATCAAAAAGTACTCATGATGAAAATGAAATCGATGATGATCAACATTCACGTGATAGTCATTCATCAAGTTCTAAAGAAAGTACTTCAGCTCTTCTTAATGAATCAGAAGAATATAAATTTAAACATGTTAACCTTGATTTATATATTTTTAATAAACATTTACATGGAATACCGTGCACTATTAGTCATTTAGCAGAAGCTGATATTGATGAATCTATTGATGAGTTATTTGATGAAGGTAAATCAACATATCGACAACAGAATGATGAATATAATCCACGTTCAATTCGTCCACCATCATTTTCTCAGTATATTAAACAAATTCAAGAATCAAGAACAAAAACAAAACCAATGCAACATCGATCAGCTCGTATTCCTGTTCGAACGACAAAAGCTGAGCAATTAAAACTTGCTCGACAACAATCAGCTAATGAAAAAATGCCTAATCTTCCTTATATACGTCCTTTTACAACTAAATCATATGGTGCATTATCTTTTAAGTCACAAATACGACCCTCAACAATACCTTCAATAAATCGTACTTCACGTACACGAACTAATAGTAATAGTAGTTTTAGACAATCGGAATCTGCTCGATCATGTAAACAAGCACTTGGTTCAAATGATCCTTTACATCTTTCGGCAATGCTTGCTAAACAAATGCGACAAGATATTCAGAGTAATAGAGGCAAGTATTATCTCAAGAATCGTAACTATATTTTCTTTTTCATAAGATTTCACATATCTTAATAATATGAGTTACAAGTGTTTAATTTAAGCTCCATACAGAAAAGAAAAAGCATTTATTGTCTGTCTATTCATATGATGTACTCAATATACTTTGAGAGATATTCGAAAAAAAAGGAATCTAACTATAATGGTGTCTTTTTTAGAAATGTATAGAATGTAATTATTACAAAATAAGAAAATTTAATTGATGATTGCAATTGAGATTATCTACACTATTGGACAAAATTTTGTGAAACTCATATATATTTTCGAAGAAAACAATGAGCGTAAGTTTTAAGTTGTAGTTTTACGTCTTCCCTCATGGCAGATTTTTGCCACCGAGGACAACAGGTGTCAAACTTTTCTTGAGTTCCTTAGCGATGAAAAAATGCTGAACAGCATTAACAAAAGACCTTGACTAGTCTAGAGAATTCTAGAGCATTCTAAAGTCTTCTTCGAAATTTGAATGACTGAAATACGTTTTCGAGTGTTGTAAATAGTGCAGTGTTTGATTTTTGCGCATATAAAAGTTTTATATTCAAGATGTCAAGGATGATGAGTAGTGATGTATTGATTTGTCACAGTTGTCATATGGTCGACATAAAAAAGCATGAACTAATCAAATTATACCTTTAGTAAGTAATCAATTTTACTGTTTGTAAGCTTGTCGAAATATATAATAGTGCGTTGAGGAGCTGCTATAAACATAATTGATATGTATAACAGACTTACTTGTCAATGATTAGAATAATGATAATGTTAAATATAAGAAAAGCGGAATACGAAAAAAAAAGTAACAAAGCAATGGAAAAATTTTTGTTCGAAATGTTGAAATAAATAAGACGTATCGTTTCTATGGTGATCGATTATCCTTAAAAGACCATTATAGTCTGCTAGAGACTTTTCACGTTACGTATTTTATATTAGTGTAATAAGACTGAAGAACACATGTGAGTTCCACATTTTACCTCCAAAGGGCTGCACTATCAAGCTTTCTTTTGAACACATTTGTTTTTTATAAAATTTTCGTATATAGTTGACTTTTAATGGACTGTTTGCGTGAAAAGTACAGCTAATGCCTATCTTATATACACAAAAGATTTTACTCCGAAATATTAAGTCATAGTAAAATTAAACATAAAACAATCTGGGATAGTTGAGTTTTTTTTTGGACAAAATTTATTTAACTAACGAGGGAAGCTCCCCAAGTGATAAATCGTTTTCGAGTTCGGACTCTATGCATTAAGTAGATCCCAGTGAAGTATGAAAAC